GATGGATGATCAAAAACACAATTTATCAATATGATCATCTGCTAGCCCAAGTACGTGAGTCTAAGCCCAGATAACTGATAGACCAGAATGTCTGCGAACCTGCGAAATACTTTGGGATCATCTGGCTCAGGAAATATATGCAGAAAGGAGAGCGGCTGTACTGGTGATGCCATGGCCTTGATGAAACACGTTCATTCAGAACCACGGAATTATCAGTCATCTGGATCGAACGAATGGAAAGCAAGTGAAATAGAAAGTAGAAGTAGTGTGTCTGAGTTCAGACAGCTGATCGCATAATGGCTCCGCAGCGTGATAACTCTCGCCTTCTGTTTGAACACATAGATGAAGAAGGAATAAGAGACGCGTGGTAGCTACCCAGAGGGTAGTACACTAGAAACTCTGCAGACGGTCGACAGAACGTGGATGAGAGTTAGATTCGATGTGACGGTCAGAGATATATCGATAAGGTAAGTATAGCAACGGCTTCCTATATCAGACAAAACAAATGACGTCACAACAGACCGTCGGCATGACCAATCAACGAGCAGCATACTTGCTTAGCGAGAATCTTGCAATGAATATTGTCAGATACTGTCCAGTCTCGAGTCAAGGCACGCGTGAATGAAAAACGCGACACTATGGGACCATCATGATCGTCCCAAGCCTACAAGACTCATGTACGAAGTCAATAGCTTGGTGAATCACAAAAGCTCTTTGTCTCCGAGTAGTCCCTGATTTTGAAACAGGCACAACTGTTAGCATCACCGGGTATCGAGTCATCTGCTATGTATCCTCAATAGTAGAGCTGAAATATATTGACATCGTCATACTGTGGCATTGTTCGCCAGTGTTGGAGACGAAGTAGAACTTGACCAAGGTTGCTCAGTGGTTGGAAGTGGAGCATGTCGCAATCACTGGGCTGGTGAGCGAGCTCAAGTAGTGCTTAGTGTCACCATTGCAAGCGAGTGGACTGGACTAGCTCACATAACCATTACTGCTAGTCATCATATCGAATCAGCAAGCCCTTACAAACACCATAGAGTGGGTTTTGTAGCACAACAACATGCTCGAATTTAGAGATATGTGACATCGCAATCGGGGTAATAGGTGGGGAGGCGGTTGTTTGTTTCGCGCCAAAACTAAACAAAGATGATGGGTGGGTATCGATTTAGAAATAGCTGGAATAAACGGGAGCAAGCGCTGAGCACTGAGTACCCTGTCCCGAGCCTCACTCACCCCTCGCTTGCCTTAGTACCTTCCTTGCAAGCTCTACAAACTCTCCCTCCTTCCCAACCAGCGCAGCCTCAACCAGTCCCCATGCATCCTCTTGTCTATGTTCTTCCGTCCATCGCACATACTCCGCTTCCTGCCATCCATGGGTTATATGCGGCATCGGCAGTGGGGACCGTACAAGAATATGGTGCAGCACTATGAGCGGAGGCAGGTTCGCAGCGTGCGTTGGACCTGCAAGCGAAGCTGTGTCGATGAAGAGGAGGGGTCTATGATAAGTGAGTGAGCGCGCATCAGGTAGTGTCAGGAATAGAACGAACCGCATGGCTCTAAGCATTTTGTACTCCTCCCCCGCCGCTTCAAGACCACGCTTGCTTGAGGGCCCAAGGAACGCGCCCAACGTAAATTCGAGCTCCGTCATATCTGTCGTGAGCTGCAGCTTCCCGCTCTCCCCCAACGGTTTCGCTATACTGGCGTGGAGCACAAAGTTTCGGATGACATATCTTACGATAGAGAGCACCCTGGGTGTTTCACTTAGTGCGACAGGTCAACAGCAAATGACTAAAGAGCATACCAGGACTGGGTCATATCACTTGTAAAATTAGTAAAGATCTGAGTCTTGACGTAGTTGAGTTTATCAGCGAGGTCTTTCATGTACATGCTTGGCCCCGCCATGCCTGCCATCGGGTTTGTGGCCTTCTGCAGGTCAACCCTATGAAGCCTCGAGACGATGGAAGCGAGCTCCCTTCGGATCGCCGTCAGGAGCGGGTCAACAATACCGTCGTATGTGATGTGCAGTTTCTGTGCAGCGGGGTGACTTCAAGACTTGGTATTCTTGGGAATAAATACCTTTACACCAGCTTTTACAAGCGTGGCAGCGCTCTCGGTATGTTCTTCAGCTACCTTCTCCAAATTCGTCCAGCAATAATAAAGGCACGTCGCAACCTGACCATTCAAGACTTGTTGTGGAGTCGCCATCGGCCCAAGAAGTGTGACCGCTAAGCGATCTGAAGAGATCTAGTTTCAACATATGAGTTATGTGGTACCTATTCAAAGCCGAAAAAGACTCACCAGGCCCTCGGCCCTCATCATCACACCATCGAGAGCTGCGCTGACGTTTCTCGCCACCGCAAGTATTAACAAAGGATCGAACCTAGCAGAATCAAGCTCATTCATCACCACCCGCGCAATCGTGACTCCTTCGTTAGAGCCTGGAGGTGCGCGAGAGCCACCAGCAAAAGCCTGGGATACGGATTCATTCAAACGGGTTGCTGAACGAGAGAGGTAAAGATCCTCGAACGTAGAGAGAGCGCGGAGGACGAGAATAGTTTCTGGTCTAAAAATCATGATGAGGCTATATTTCACGAGAAGGGGAAGACATACGATTGCTGAGATTGGGTATAGACTGTGTCAGTATGCACTGCAATTTTAGCAAACAATTTGTGGAAGATGCGCAAGAGTTTGGGGTAACCAGCGCTTAGAGTCTGTTGAAGGAAAATTGATCCTAGTCTTGATACATTAGTGGTGATGTATATGGCACAAATGAAAACGAACCTTTGGCAGCATCACGAACATACTTCTCGAGAGAGCGTCCTACCGAAGTCCAGAATGTAGAAGTAGGTTTGTTCTCTAGAACCTTCAGGTAGTTAGTTGGTCATAGTTTTGATTATTGGATGTACAAAAAACCGTACCTTCATTACATCGGCAATGAACGATCTTTGGGTGACCGGATCCTTCTTCAATTTTAGGGCCTTCTCGAGCGTATACACCTAAGACTAAGTAGTAAGTCGTCGACATAATGTAGAATAGCGTTCAGGTTGCTACCTTGATGCAGCATGCCGCCATCTCCTCGACGAGAGACTCGAGGCGGGCCCAAAGCGCACCTGTCCATTGTGGTGCCGTGATGTTTGTTGGTTCTGTTCGTACACGCGACTTATATGAGAGGCCTTGAGACGAAGGTACATTTTCTTGCGAACAAGAACATCAGTCAAGGAAGGATAGTCTCAGTACGACCTACCCTTCGAAACAAGTTCCTTTGAAATACATGAGAGATCAAATGTACTTCGTATCCGTTCCTCGACGGCGTCACAAAGATCTTTTGACAAAGCTTGTACGAGCGTTGGGAGTATGCATAAGTTGTGCGCTGTCTGTAACGAGGATGCCAATAGTGATTGATCCTTAAAATTAAAATTCATGTTAATGATTCACGCCAGAACATAGAATGACAAACCAAACTGGAGAGACCGGTTATGATCATGGATTCCATCTCACGCGTGACCTTGCATCGCGCTTCTTCGATAAATGGTATGTGAGCTACTGTCGCCTTCACAGATCGAAGGGGGACCAGTGCATCCATCGTTGGGGTAGTCCTATGGCCAGTTTCTGGCAAGCAATTCTTGAGGGTATCCCCAGTATCTTCAGGTCCATCCAACAAGGCGCCTTGACAAAAGTTAAACACTACCTGCGAGGTAATAAACAAGCGAACCTAGTTCTGCTATTGTCAATGCCGCTTTGGCAATAATGCGCTCCTTGTCGTCTTGCTGATCTGCGAATAGGCGTTTTGAATTGTCGAGTTTCTTTTCAGCGGTGCTCGGCTTGTCGAATGCAGCGAACTCGGTCATTTGAGTATCCAGACGTCGTGAAAGCACGATGAAACGTGAAATACGCCGCAACGCATCCGAGGCTTGACGGGTGCGTTGAAGCCTAATGGCGCTCGTTTCCAAGGTTCGGTATGGAACACGAATTTTCTCGCGAAGTCTGATTCGGCCGCGTAAGTTGCGACGTAACGACAGAACGTAGCTACGTACTTCTCCAAGGAAGCATCGACGTCGTCCAAGCCACGTCGAACTGAAGTCAGCGATCCTGAGAGGTTATTGATCTCCACCGCTCGGTGAAGCAACTCTTCATGGTGAGTAGTAACCTGAAATCAATACGTGATCAACAGCATCTCAGTGTGATAATATAATTACATACCAGGCTTTTTATTTGCTTTCCAACATTCTCGATGCTCGAGTCCAGCTTGGATATTGTGACCGATATATCGTCCTTGGAGGCCGCCCCCGTTCGGGGCTTTGCGAATTGCGTTTGGTGCTGTGGATACGGCTCGCCAGCAAGAATGGCATTGGCGTAATCACTGATATCAAAATCGTCAATCACGAACGATGAGTAGTCTAGCGTGGTTTAGCATTAGACGAGATATCCAAGAGAAAAGTACTTACCCATCATCGAGATATGGATCAAGACGAGCGCATTCAAATACTGCGCAAACGAGATTTTAACAATCCTGAAGACAACGTTAGTGTTTAAACACGACTCGAAAGTACTGTACGAATAGTTTAAATTTAGATCTGACGGAGTCAGATCAATATGGTCATGGTACGAGCACAAGGAGGACTTAACTGGACCGGATCGGATAACATTTGTCAGCCTTTCGAGTGGCAGTGCACGTGGCATCATGCTGTACAGTGTAAATTAATTATGCCTGTTTTGGCGCGTTCTTGCTGGACTGGCATCTGTGCTGGTGGTCGTGTGACCATATACTCATCTAGACGAAGCCCGTGAATTTGTGAGATGAAATCTACTCTAATTCACCTGTTTTTCACATTGCAAAGCTTCTAGATCTGAGATAAAATGGATATATCATATATATGTGCATGATACGTCGGAACGGACTTCTCATTACATGTGAGATACACTTACATACTTTACACCTATAACTTACCAGTCAAGTTATGCCATTGTAGGCTATCGTCCTGCTTCACCTAACACTCATGTCGCGAGAAGTCGTTTTAGTAACTGGCTGTTCAAAAGGTGGGATTGGTTTCCATTTGTAAGTCCGTTGTCTTAAACTCTTCCTACTTCAAGCTCAAACTTATGATAACTGTGACAGGTGCGAGCGTTTTGCGGAGCAGGGATGCATTGTGTATGCAACGTCTCGTAGGCTGGAGACGATGGACGGCTTCAAACATTCAGTGGAAAAACGTGTCATGGATGTGACCAGCGATGACGATGTGAAACTCGTCGTACAGTCCATCCTAGAAGAGCAGGGGAAAATCAACATCGTTGTGAATAATGCTGGTGTTCTGGCCATCGGTTCGTTCAAACCTTTCAAGCCATAGTGAAACGGTTGTCATGTTCGGTTTCCCTCAGGACCGTTGCTTGACGTATCCTTAGATCAGGCTGGAAACGCGTTTGAGATCGATACGTTCTCGATCTTGCGGGTTGCACAGGCAGTCGCACCCTCTATGGTGGAACGCAAGCAAGGGCTTATCGTTAATATTGGATCAATTGCAGGAAATATGTGAGCACGGTGCAATGATGGCATCTTTCAGCTGACGCCGTCTTATAGCCCTATTCCATGGTATGGATTATACTGCGCAGCTAAGGCGGCACTTCACGCGCTCAGCGATACTCTGGCCATGGAATGTAAGCCTTTCGGTGTTAAAGTGATTTTAGTGGCACCAGGGTGCATTCAGTCAAATATTAGCACCAACCAAGCAGCCACACTTGAACTATCTCCCACGTCCATCTACAAGCCCTACTTCAATCGAGTGTACGAACGCCTGCGTACCAATCGAACCCAAGACCAAGGCAGCATGCCTACTGATGAATTTGCACGACGTGTGGTTGCAAAGGTGATGAGTCCCAATCCTCCAACTTATATGTCACTTGGGACCAACTCGCGTCTTTTCGCATTCTTCCACTGGCTCCCTCACTGGTTTGTCCTCTGGATCCTGGGATGGAAGCTAGTGTGGAGAAAGACCTGAACTATCTACGTAGCCACCACCTGCCATGGACGGAATAATGGGTGGTCGCGGACGATCCAGGTGGCTAGCAACCGATGGGTCGTGGGCCAGATTTTGAGCCAGGTCCGGAATATTGTGCGTGAGGCAAGCAGTGAAGATGTTGCAGATATTGCTGGTCGTGGAGGGGACATCAATCTTATGGTAAGGCTTGACGAGGAGATGCCTGCGTTCACGGAGAAGTAAAGTTGATGACGAGTAGAAGTGTGTATATTGCGTGCTGTTTAAATTGTTGACTTGAATATATGCTCGTGCTGAGCAGCAATCGACGACGTTCGCCGTGTTCGGTGAATCTTTCCAGAAGATATACCCTACTATCAACTGATAAACGCGTTGGCTTATGAAGCACATATCAGTCTGTCTGTCACAGAAGCACGATGAATTTTCTGGTGAATCAGAATTATTACATTAGGCAGTCTAAGACTAAGTTAACGAACAGCAGCTACAAGTACTCATCTGGCCATCCGTCATGTTTCAACCTGGTAGGTATTGCGTAGGCACCAAAGTATGAGACAAACCTAAAGGGAGACCGTCTGGAGGGTCTGTACGGCACCCGGAAGGTTGGCGTCGTGTACATGTGGGCGGACGCATGGGTTATCAACAGCATTGGCGTCGATGGTGTTTGGTGTACACGAAGCAGAAACGGTGGGCATCAATGGCGGTACGACATGTTGCGCACTGGAAATGGAGGTGAAGGAAGGGAGGGTGACACCGCACAACCCCGCCTTGGAGCAGGACAACCCAACTAAGCGTCGTAGGGAGGGGAAGAACTTGATCTGGGAACAAGCGGACGTCAGTAGCGTATACATAGAATAAAACGAATCAAACCATTAGGCTTGAAGCTTGAGTACTGGCGTGTTGTGCTAGGGATGTAACGGCTCGCCGCACAGACGGTGTCACAAGAAAGAGATTCAACACTTTTCTCCCCTTCTGTTATCCCTCCTTCTCCTTTGGCGTCACACGTTCATCTTTCCATCATGCTGATACTTCTCCATGCTCAGCGTCATTCGGGTCGGGTTTAGCATTGAGTGGATGCGGGGAACATGGGTGGTGACGGTGGTGTTGTCGTAGTTATGGACATGACAGTGTGCCGGCGATGTGGAGGATGGATCTACCGGCACTTGCCGAGAGTCAAGCTCAAAGTCAGGTCTGGCAGAGTTGACGCAGTCTGACGTCTGTGTCGGGAGTTTCTGGGGAGTCTTGCGGGAAGTGTGTGTCAGCCGCTCAAAGTCTGTCTGCCCGCTGTCTTACATCATCCGCTGCATAGATGGGCTCAGGTATTTTGCCTGCCTCGGACGGCGACCAAACCACTTCTTGGAAGCGTTTCCTGACTCAACAACCTCGATCAAACCAGGACGCAGAGCCTCGATAGAGGGAACATGGTTTTCCAGGATACCCATGTCACCTGTTGCAGCAGCAACGTTCACTTGAACAAGTGCATCTGTGGAAGTGAAGATAAGTAGCCTTCGCAATATTCCGCCTTCAATTTCGAGTAAATGGAAGCAGTACTTACAGCGGACTTATAGGATCGGATAACATTTGTCAGCAACAGCATGGAATAGAAAACAAGTCCGAACCTTCGAGTGGCACCAACACCATGTGCTGAGGCCTAGGCCTATCTAACGACAAGCCTGGTGTACTAGTAGGAACCGAGTAAGGGGTCAAGGAATGCAACGGCCAGCACCCGGCACGGTTATAATGTTGGACTGCATTACTGATGACGATGTGGGGCGAAAGCTCCGCGTTGCAGGACGGTAAGTCCTCTTCCTCATTCTATATTATTCACGTGTGCAAATATACTCACATTCACTGCAGGATGCTCATGTACGACCCTTCCACCGCACTTGTACTCCTCTCACTTTCCTCCCACGGACTTCTGGTAGACACTTCTCTTGTAATCGATCCGGATGCAGTGCTTTCTACAGTAAAATGGGGCGGGACACTCGATCCAAATGTGAACTACAACTGGATACACGAACGTCAAGCATGGGTGTGGGTTATGGGATGGTTGGAGAGGTCCGAGGTGGGTTGCGTTCAGTACGCGGCTACATCATTATACATACTAACATGTCGTAGCAGGACCTCCCAATACCGGAACTCCCACCCTACACATCACCACCAGACGTTGACCCGTCGATTGTTCTTAAAGCGCTGAACGTCACTCCTGCGCGAGATCTGGATGTTGTCGGCCTACGTTCGGCGCTTGCCGCGATGGGAGAGTTACTACCTATGACGTATCCAGTATGATAGGCGTTGAGTCATGTCGCCGATGTCGCAATGTGAGTGATTAATATTGCTGATATATATCATGCTTTGCTGCGGGCTGATTTCCCATTTCGTAGCTATATCAAGCTGACGATTTTTGGGCTGCGCATCTTGCAGAGGTTGCTGGTCGTCGAGGGTCATTGGCAGGAGACCAATCGCATCGTAAGGCTCGACGAGGAGGTGTCTGCGTTAATTCACGGAGAAGATGTCGAGTAGAAGTGTGTATATTACGTGCTGTTTAAACTGTTGACTTGGATATATACTCGTACTGAGCAGCAATCGACGACGTTCGGCGCGTTCGTCAATCCTCTCAGAAGATATACCCTAATCAACTGATAGACACGTTGGCTCATGAAGCACACGACACGGTCGCACACTGGATAAAATGCGACTCGGTATATTAAATGGAATTACGAGGAACGACAAAAGGGGGCAAGCAAAGCGATATTATAGAACGAAAACATAGTAGCATTTCACACCAAAAATTCAATTTCGCTTATTACATCCGTTACTGATCATGCAGTTCCAATGCAACGAGCGGTGGCAGCAATGCGAAAATTCATGGGTATGACAGTATGCCTGGAACAAGTACGTTCAGATACGATCGCTCACATGCAACTCGAGACTTACTCATAATGCTGTTGAACACCATCGCCTTCCATGATCAGCACGTCTCCCTGAGAATTTTCAGGTCTAGGACAACTGCACTTTTTGTAAACACGACTTACGTGCCGGAGGATCAAAGTTAACACATTTGACGATGAGTGTTTTGGCTCCTTTGATGTAGCACGGGCACGAAAATGCATGAATGCCGCGGACCCTAGTGAAAGGGATGCTACGACAGGACCCAGCCCGCGCTCACTGTCACTGTGGAACTAAGACACGTTAATGCAAGACTATGGGGCAATTATTTCTCAGAACTTACAGACATCTTTTGTTTTTCCATATATGCGGCGCTGAGGACTTCGTTGAATGGGATGTCTTTTTGAAGAGCGAGACGAGATCTCTCTTTGATCAAGGCGAGGGCACCACACACAGATGATGGCGCTTTGTCGAAAGGCACGGTATTTCCTGTTCCACCAACATACTTTTTCATCCTTGAGCATTGTCATTAAAGCAGATGCAGGATGTAATGACCTGGTATGGTTCACCCGCTACATGCCAAAATGCTCAACACAAGAATTTATAGTCAAAATAATATGCACTCACAATTTTGAGAAAAGTAATTAGTAAGGAAAGTTCCACGAACTGCAATACAGTTTGAGCGATCACTAACACAGTTCTAAAATCTTCATCCCTAACGTTTTTTCTGGATGTATTTCAGAAAGACCTCGTAGATAGAAGGAAGCTGCTCACAAGCCTGAGTGGGTATCTTCTCAGAAGCAATTCTCCCTCTTCAGCTTGCTCCTGATACTGTCGGAATATCTCGTCCGCCTGTTTGTTTGCCAATGGAGTACCCAATAAGAGATGGATCCTTCCTCTGCATGACTTCGTCATCAAGATAATGCCACAGCATACTAGTGCGACCCTTACCTTTCATTAGGGAGAATAAAAGTGAGGTGGTTTGTAAATCCTCCGCCATCGCCCAGTTCGAATGGCTCTGGACGACAAGCGATGATCTCTGCGAGAGTCGCATGAATGTGAGGGAGAAATGCCAGTGAATGATAATGATGTCGCAAACCTGATTGTTTTCCAACTTGCGAGTGTAGAAATTCTGCTGGTGGTCGTTGGTGCCAAAACTCTTTTGCTGTCCGCAGTCTTCCGGGAAGTTTGTGAATCAACTATAGGAAATGCCTCAAGGGAAGCCACATAATAAGAGGGGACGACACATACCTGACAATAAGAACATTCCCAATGTTCCCATTTGAACCTTCAAACTTGCGTCAGGGTAGCACAGTATATCTACGAAGCTACGCTTACCGACTCGAAAGGCGCCCGCACTTCTCGCAGTGCCATCCCTTGCTAAATGCATACGAAGTAGTGATGGAATCCATCGTTTCAATAAGCTTCGCAGGGCGAAGCTCTGGAAGATTGGTAAATACTGTTTTAATCGGGCGTAAGAATGAGGCGTCATAATCAAGTTGTTCCAGCTCTCGTCCTCCTATACTCCAAAAGGAAGTACAAGAAGGGTTCAGACACATCCATCCCTGTGAATAAACAACAGGACTCTTCTGAGAACACTTATTGCATGCCATATTAACAACGGCATCTGGCGGCGACGGATCTTGTCTGGGAGCAGACCGACAACCTGCTCAAAATTCAGAAATATCGAATGGCAGAATCTTAGCAACCCACCTCCGATTGGATCGGGAAGCATATCCACATCATCGCTCTCGGATGAAATCCACCACGGATTTCCCTGTCCTTCGCACCATTGGAAAGCGAACTTCCAGCGGACAACCCTTCCGCAGCCATTGGATGCGGGTTGATACTCGGCTACAGTGAGAGCTCAGCGACAGCGACTCAGAAATGCGAATTGGACGTATCATACCCCATGCATGAGATATCCAATATAATCCAAGGACGACATACGTGCAGCCCGAGGCACTAAGATCATAAGGGAATAGAGCATACTTATCATCAGCTAGAAGAACCAGAGGTCGTTTGTCTGTGTAGCTCTTTAGTAGAGCACGGACGGATTTGTCTGTGGCTTCTTGATCCTGAGCCTGTTGAAACCGAGCAGCACCAACCCGGTAATCGAGGATGCTCTCAGCTTTACCGCCACTGTATAGCCACAAATCAGGCAACTTATGGGAAAGATGTGACATGAACTAACCCATGGGAAACGATCAATCTCCCCCCGCAATGAAAAATATCACGGCTGACCTCATTCAGTTAGCGACATCTTGCCTTTTGATGAAAGAACATACCTTGCGGGTGATCCACCCAAAAGATAGCCTTTGACAATATCCTTCAAAGAATAAACACCACTCTGATAACTTCGAAAGTAGTCGAATGATTCACAGACTTCTTGGCGAGACTACATGCCAGTTAAGAATACTGTATGCTCACACAGTGTTGTGCATACCTCGGCCCAAATTGGCGGCATTACGGGTAAACGAGGTTTCTGCTGTTCAATCGTTGGCACACTGATGTCGGCCACCTCCTTACAGCTTGACAACGGAGGTAAAGTATCGTTGACTGAAGGTATATCAAATTCGTTCGCAATATCATCGACATCCGCGACATCATCTTGATCATCATCGCGAGCCCAGTTCTCCATATGCACTGAGACTGTCTGGGAGTGCATTAACGAGGCGTTCCTACCAATATCCGTCAGTAAACGATCGACGCCTTCCTGATTGAGGGCTGGTCTCGACGGTTGAGCATAGGAATTTTGTTGTCCATGTCTTGGTGGAATATACTTTGTCGCTACTTTGCGTGGCAAGGGGCGAAGAGACCGTCTAGATTGCGGAAGTGCACTTGCAACCATCAATTCGGAGGATCGCGCTACGAAGTGATCTGAATCGTTAGATCGTAGGCCGCTATCCTCCCGGCCGTGGTTTGAGGACAGGTTACCATTAGCAAGGACTTGTGTACCTTGTCCTGCATGAGTAGGAGTAGTGCTGTCAACATTGCCCAGCGAGCTACTGGGCAGTCCTGGGTGTATTTCCCTTGGTAATTGACAAACGGGCGGTGAAGGTGCAGTATCTGGACAATCCTCCTGACTGAGTAATGGCAGGGAAATCGGCATATCAATCGAAGAAATGCCACCCGAACTGTTGTGCATGCATTTACCATCGGGAACCTTATTGGACTCAGGTACCTCAGATGTGCGGGAATGCTCTTGTAGTGCCTTGGTAACTGTCGAAGGTACAGGACTTGAACCCTCCTGGTCACTGCTGCGGCCGCGACCACGACCACGACCACGACCACGACCACGACCACGACCACGACCAGGACCACGACTGCGACCAGGACCACGACTGCGACCAGAACCGCGACCACGACCAGGACCGCTACTACGGTCGCGGCCGTCATTGACTCCATGTCTACGCGCCCTGGCGCTGTGCCCACCGCGGCCAGACCGTGTGCCTTGAGTGGCGTGACCGCTCAAGAGTTCGTGTCTCTTCTGGATAAGGTACTCCGTTGGGCGGTTCTCTGCTTTTAATAGACGATAAAATTCAAAGAAGATGGACAACATCTTTGGATCATTGGCAGAGAGTTTTATGACGTCTGTCTCATCATTTTCTGGTGGAAATGCCAGGCGGATCCATGCTTGAACTGCAGCAAGGGCTCGTTGCTAGTATGTCCAGGTTGTCAGTTATATCTGTACTGGTGTACATGACATACGTTTTTCTGCATCTCCTCCACGAAATCATTGATAATGACATTGCTTTCACGACGAGTCGAGCACTGGGCCTCGGAGTATAGAAAACAGTAAGTCAGCAGAGGTTCATGCTTAAGCAAAGACGCGTCATGCCAGCTAAGTGGCAGCTCCATGGAACACGACGTCTTGCGTTGCCTTCAATAAGTCCACTGCACCTGGTTTCTGACTTATGCCTCGCCGGAGGGAATCCTTGAAGGGAAAGCAGCGCGCATACTCCCCAGGGCGCAGGTGCCCTCACCCATTACGCGAGGTTCGCTGTAACGGAGCCGCGGAAGTACCCGGACTTTCAGATGTGAAGTAACTTGCACAGTACCAGCGAAACTCAAAGACACGCAAAAGTAAGAGCGTTATCAAGGTTGGAATAAGTAGTACTCTAGCGATACGGCCGGTGGCTGGAATCACAATTTTACTTCGACCCCAAAGCATGTTGCAAGGCCTCATACACATCAGCCTCTATCCGTGCTTCCATTTTGTCCTCCTCGGATCCGTTCCCTGCAGCGACCTTCAATGCTTCCTGTAGATTTGCACGAACGGCCTGAGAGGAGAAATTTAGAGTGCGGTGACACGTGTGAGGATGAAACCTACCTCAGAAGAGAATGACTCCAAAGGCGCAGCCTCGACGACGTTAATGGTGAGTTTGTTACCGGGGTGTACAGTTGCGAAGCCACCGGAAGCTAGCACAGTGCATTAATATCATGTGTAGAATAATATCAAAATTTTCAACACACCAAACCACTTCTTGGAAGCGTTTCCCGACTCAACAACCTCGATCAAACCAGGACGCAGAGCCTCGATAGAGGGAACATGGTTTGCCAGGATACCCATATCACCTGTTGCAGCAGCAAGGTTCACCTGAACAACATCTGTGGAAGTGAAGATAGCCTTCGCAATATTCCGGCTTCAATTCCGAGTAAATGGAAGCAGTCAGCGGACGCACCTGGTGAGGAAGGACCAGAGAAAGGCTGATTTTATCAGCTACTTCAGCGTATCCTCGTCGCTGCTGTGCGAGCGCTGATGGTGCACGTCGGGCGGCAGAGGAGAGCAGACGCAAAGCAGACATGGTCAAAGTATTTTGTGGACGTGACCGAAAGATGGAGTGAGGAACGATACGTTCTTTGGTCGGATAAAGCCGCTTCACAACCACGTGACTTATGTCACATGACTGCTATTCTCCCATGTTTTTACATGGCTCAACTTCGGTTTTTTCGCTCAGGAATCGAGAGCATTAACTCAGAACTGGTTCATCAAATCCGATTACATGTCTTAAGTGTTCTCTATCAATCCCGTTCTGCATCACACCGCAACTTGACCGCAACCGAAATATAGCTCAACGCCTCTTTGACACTTCTCTGTTCACAACTTCACATCCGTGATCTTCAAGGAATCATACCATGATCGGCCTGTCCGCACAAGCCACCGTCGACGACTCGACGTCCCTATGGTCATTCCCATGTTAGTGTTCCAGTGGAACATCTAATCATCCACTGTCGCATAGCATGCAGACAATGCGTGCTTGTCTTGCACTCATGCCACCCAATTTGAAAGGGTCTACATATAATTTGCACCCGCACTGGCACTCCGTGTATTTCATCAGTGCTCCAACGGTGAAGTCAACAAGGTATGAATATGAGAAGCACTTCCTTCTACAAGTCCATTCAGGATTCATGCTGACGGTACTTTCTGCTGTAATGTAGTTCATGACGACCGTGGAATGAAATTTCAAAATGGGAACTATCTCACAATTAGAATGCATCACGATGATATCGATGTCCGCTTGCCCCATTCACCAGTTTGTGAATTGTGTCCATCGCACAGCTGTCGTATTCCATCTTGCGACTGATCTTCTCAGCAACAATATATACTTTCCCCACGAGATATGGCAACCTGATTGGGTACGAGCGACGAACCGGAAGCTATAACAAAATGAAGACAACGAGGAGAAGAATGAGGGAACAAGGGAGCACGAAGGAGACAGAGCTCAATTCATGCTGACAATGGCTAATATCGTCCTAAGGTTGTGACTGACAGGCTGGTGAGAACCGCTATGGTCGAGATTGTACCCTCTTCTAGGATACAGGAATGACAGTGATATAATTTATACACAAATAGATCTACAATTCTAAAGAGGAACAATGCAGATCACAATATGTCAAGGACTGTTAGGCTTGGAATGGTAGCCGTTAGTAGGCGCGTAATCCTCTGGTAACAACTCCGGTACGCGTCGCACGCCACGCTCACTATCATAAAAAGATTTGAGAATCTTACAATATACCCATCATGTAAATTACTCACATCTCATCCACAGCAACCATGAGGTCGTAATTTATTTCCTGGCTCACAACAGAATCGCGATTGTAACTTGGATGAGAGCGCACGAAATTACGAATCCAAGTCGCGGGTGTCTGTAAAGAGCCTAAAACTGATGTGAGCACACGTCTCAAAAGAAAAAGAAATGATATCCGTGCCTATTGCGCGTCTGCGGACAAGGTCAAGGTATTTGTTAATCTGCAACCTGTCTCCCTCATCAACGTCTAAGGTGTCGATGTAAGCCTCGACGACGCCAAGCAGACCAGGGAACTTGGATCCCTGAGACAAATGTCAACATTTGAAAGCTGCAGGCAAAGAATACATGACAACCTTCCCAACAAAAATTTCTTCCACAGTCATCTCCTCATACTCATCTTCAATTGGACCATCTTCCACACACGACGGTCGAGGAACAGGGGGGAAACAATTGCGAAGTAGTTTCTCCTTCGCTGGAGCACCTTCCACAGGCGTAGATGATCCAGAGCACGAAAGTGGACTAATGGTAAGAGTGTCATGCCCTGGGGGAAGAACATCCTTCCGGAAATAAAATTTTCCGGAACGAGCTGCGTCTCTCTTCTGTGCACGCGCCATGTTCTGATCAACCTGCTACAATATCAGTCAAATGACATCGAGGAGAAATATCCGTTTGAACCTTGGAAATAGGAATATAGAAATTAAGGTTGAATGCTAGGATGGCGCGCGAAAGGAGGACAATGAAGACAGCAAATGCAGCGTTCTCAAAGTCTGTCATTTGCACCTCCATGCTACGAAACTCTACACGCCAGCCGATGGGAGAGTTTGGTGGGGGCGGTTTGAATCTAAGAGTCTGCCAGTTTGTGGATTGAATATTCTGCCAAGACGTTGAGAATAACGAACAGAGCAGGACGAATAGTGACATCACCTCGAAGTGGTCATTGCTAGTAGTGTCATCTTGATTGATGGTTTCAGAGAAAATAACGAGAGGATCTCGAATGAATAAATGTGCTACGTGCTTGGCAAGCATCTCATCTATGCCTAAATCCAAGGGAGTCAGAGTCGTAACAAAGTCAAAAGGCCCAATACTCACCGTGATTACGAAGACGTTGAAAGATACCTTTGTTGTAGGGTACATGAGCGTCGTTATATTCGGGTTTGTTGGTCCAATTATTTGCGATATATAGATCAACGCTGTCATAACGGGACTTGGGAATCGTGTAGTTGTCTTTCGAAGGCTAGAATACTCGTTTCAGAAAGCACAATAAGGAACTAAAATGATACTAACTCTCAAACCGCGTTCTTCTGGTGTGCGGTCATCGACGCTGCCAGCAATGACATTCCAACGGCAATCTACATCAGCGAGGTAACCTCTCCATGCCGGACTAGCTGCTGTCAAAGCAAGCTGCAAAACGTCTTGATTCATCTGAGTTTTACCTCACTAAAGCACCTACGCACCATAATTGGTCCAACGGGAATAAGAGCATCATACATGCGCCTTGCTTCATCTACATTGCAACTCTGGAAAGTGAGTTGCAAACAGCAACATCCCATTCCGAAGCCCATTGCGTCCATGTAAATATGATCGATCAATGCCGCACCGTTCTTCGCCTCTGTTGAGTCACCGATAGATCAAATCTGACAGTAAATGGGATAGGGTTGCACTTACCCGGATCTTCTTGGTATATCGCACGTTGCCATGGTATAGTGGGGTCAACAAATGGTCGAGGTGTTTTTTCATCAATAAATATGGGAAGGTTGATTGCTACCTTGGAGCCCCGTCTACTGCGGATATTAGCTGTTAGAGTACTAAACAAGTTGGATAAGTTTTGCGTCCGTGTACAGTCAAAATAGTCAGGTACTGACGGAAAACGTGCGTGAGGGTTCGTGATCTCCTCTGGCAAAAAGAGGCTGTGGCTGGACTTGGCATCATCCGATGAGAAATGAGGTTCGGTAAAAATGCCATGCGTTCCCAGGCGAGGGAAAGATGTGAAGGTGAATGGGATTTCATTTGCCTTCAGGTGCCTTTTTGCGAGCGTACGTCTTATCAATGACAAGGTTCAATACCACACATAATACCCACAAACATTGAGACGCGACATTACCTGTAGTGCATGTTTGTCTCGACGGATAGTAAGTCCGGGATAGAGCCCGTGTATGGAGAGCCAGGAGTCGACTCCAGCATGTATCTTCCGTATTCTGGGTGGAAAGTCGGAACAGTCATGCTGAGGAACAATTCTATTACGGCGCTTCCCCTGAGGATCCAATTACTCACAGGGCGGGTGTATCGTCGTCTGTGAGGTCTCCTACGACCTGACTAAGCTTTGCAAGGATCTCAGTCTGACGGAGAGAAAGTTTTGCATTTTTCTCCTTGTCGTCAAAGGTAACGACCATGTATTCCACCTTTCATTATAAATGTAAGCAAACAAAACTGGGACTGGTAATATTCACCTCGTCTCCCCACAGCAACTCATCGCCACATCTGTCCTTCACTCGATCCCAGGTATAGAGAAACTGTGTGATACCATGTTCTCGAACATGGTCCGCATACTGCTTCGCTTCATCCCATGTTAAGGGTGTTCCAAGGTACAGGAGGCCCATTCGTGACGTATTGCGGGCACGAGCTTGTGCAAGCCGCTTCAAGCTTGCTCGATATATAAACGGGGAGACAGGATGCTCCGAGTCCAAATACAGTTAGAAAAGTCCGGATAGATTTGGAATGGCCGGAAGCTTACAGTTGGTACCTTACCAATATTTTGATCACATGCACAGTTAATAATGATTTGTCAAATGGGGATGATTAGTTATCATATGTCGTGTAATCGTTGTGGATCACGCAAGACTTCAAAACTTCAAATGCATCTACTGAGTCGGAATGTCGACCTGGCAAGTCATATCATGCCACAGGGACTTAATCGTTTCGTCCTCCGATCGTCCGTTTAGGAAAGGTATAGAAGCGGATAAATAGACGCCCATACCTCACGTGTACATCGTCGTGTGAAGCATGTTATTCTGGTCAAAAAAACCCATCCGCAGCGCTCCGAGAAATGATGATCACACTGCAAGCGAGCACGTTATACAGCTACAGGGAAATGGACTCTCATTAGCCGTTACCGCCATTAGTCGTCCACTTCAAGACAATCTTCAGCGCAAGCAGAACGTGTCTCAACGCTCGAGTCCAAGCCTCTTCCTGACTGAACTGAAGTTTTACAGACGCTTCCCCTATCTTATCTTTGACAATTCTGCAAAAGGGTCAGTGTGGCGTGGGATGAATATAGAAGACGCTCACGTACTGATGGGGGAATTCAATAGTAGGGTCCTGAGACTTGACGGAATCTATGAGTTGTTTCAAGCATTCTAGGAACGCTACCATAGCAAAATCAAACCGACGGTTATGTAACAGGCGACCGAGGTGGAGATCACCCGACCCGTACAGTTCGTATGTCGCTTTATCTCCTACAGTTCTTTCGATGCGCGAGAATGAACCCATTGGGATCAAACGGTAGCTGTAAATGATCCTCAGTATGCATAGACGGCGATATTGAGTTCTGACTTGCTTCTCGAATGTGTAATCAAGCTTCCGTGCAATCGTATATAGCAAGAGAAGGGTCTGACCCCATGCTGCATTAATTTCGGGCCATTCAACCTGCACGTTGTCAGGAATCGGGTCATCATGAGAAAGGCTAACGTACTGGGACTCCGGGAACCCGCCCAAGCCTGAGGCCATTGATTGTTCCAAAGACGCCATCATGACCAATGCAAAACGCATCATTGTAAACGTTTGTGCGCTCGAGCTTCTCGAGCGTAGCGTAATCTGCAGCATACGCTGCACGCAGTGAAGCTAAACGTGAGGCTTGTTCTGCCAAGACCAGGAGGTGCTCATTGTGTGATCGCCAAAATCTACAACGGAGATTAATATGCGATCAGAGGAGCCCAATAACCAACTTACTCAGCCTCCTCTTCCTCCAGCGCTTTTTCTTCCGCCTCTAACAGCTTGAGCTCCTCATCAAGCTGCTCCCTCTCCCTGTCAGCAAGGCGCAATTGTTCAACGGCAGCCCGTTCTTCGGATTTTAGTCTTTCGATCTTTTTCTCTGCATCCTGTCTACTGAGGTCCAAGCTCTCCCTTTCTCTTTCCTTCCGAACCTCCTTCTCGAATGCGATATAACCATCACGCTCTTTCTTTGTCTCGTCAAGCTGCCTTTGAAGTGATGAAAGAAGAATTTGTGTGCATTCCGCGCACAAAGGGTGATCAATGTCAGACCGGGTAGAAAGCACATTAAAAAGCCTCATAGTGGAGCGCAGGTGATGTGAGATAGGTGTTGGGTTCGAATGGTCTGGCTCAGGTTGCTGGTGTGCAGGTAGTGGATGAGTGTTTTTGGCTGGGAAGTTCTTTTGGTTACCGAGAGTAGCCTTCTTAGGCATTGCAGCCCCTGGGACTGGAGAAGGTATACTGCGTATCATGCTCTCCTGCAGGAGCACAAATGACTCATTCGGTGCTGGAAAGTTGCGCTGGGGTTGTTTCCCTTGAGCTCGAGTAGAAAGGGGTGGTGATGCCCTCGGGTTGTTGTCTGATGGTGCAGCCTGCTGCCATGCTGCTTTGCTTGCAGATGGGGATGGAAGTTGAGCTATTTTCTCGACCTCTGAGTCTGTTGCATAGCGCGCACGCGAGGCTGGCACAGAAGGCAAAGAGGCTACAATCATGTCATAAGCAGAGGGTGCGAGATCTACCAATGATGCATCAAGCTAATGTTCATCAGTCAGGGCGTTCGGTTCGAGGAATGATAAATTGTTACCTGGAGTGGCTCTTTACATTGTTGGCACACGTAGCTCATCGTGATGATGGATCGGCTCCAAGTAAAGTGATTGATACTATTGGTCTGTGGCAGTACGGGAAAGATCCAGCTGTTAATAAAACCCTAAGAAGCATAAGGCTTATCAGTGACAAGTTGGAGGAAGACGTCACTGTACAAAGGTGTGGCTGGTGTTTAATGCTGAAGCGTACGGACTCGTGGACTAATGCATTACATAATTTTGTGGTCCACGACCTCAGAACATTTTTGTGAACCAATGGTCCTCAGAGATTAGTACAAACGATCGTGCTAACGTTCCTACATGAATTTCACCTACAGAATTTACGCCCTCGAACCAGCTGCGGTAGTCATGAAAACACGCGTTGTAAATGATGAAGAGAAAAGTTACGTCAAGCACACGTCTCCCCCTCATCCGATGTCTTCATGAACTCGAACGTAACGAAATGGAAGTTCTTGACGCCGTAGTCATTTTATCTTGCCAGACGTTTATCAGGAGCCGATTCGATCTAGTGGCATTTTCTTCTACTCAGATTGCTCCAGAACATATCGAAGGACAAATGTTTTTTCTTAGCCAGGCAAGATTCAGGTATGTTCCGTTTCACACTGATCATATCCGAAGGTGATTCGACTCCGCATGCCAGTGACCGTGTTTGATGCCCGTTCTCTGGTTTAGCGGTGCCTCTGCCGCGTCAACGAACGCGTGTTTTGCGTGCTGCACGCGTCTGTCAAAGATACGCTAGCATGATGTACTATGAGTAAAAAGTACTTAAGCTATTGTTTCCTGCTACATATCGTCAATAGTTCGGTTCCTCCGCATCGTTCATTCTTCAAGAGGTGAGTGAACTCCTCGTTTTAGAGGGTACTCACCTCTTTACTGTACCTAGATGGCTTCTCGCGTATTCGCTCTGTTAATTGGCATCGACGATTACAAATCCGGAAGAATTTGGAACCTCGAAGCGTGCGCTCACGATGCGCAGCGCATGAAACAATGGCTCATGCAAGATCTCCAAGTACCCAAAGAGAACATCGCGCTTCTCCTCAACCAAGAAGGCACCAAACGTCGTATTGAAGATACGTTTATGAGTCATCTTGTTAACAATCCTGCCATTGCAAAAGGCGACGCGTTGATTGTGTATTTTGCTGGCCATGGAAGCACCTTGCGCGCACCACCAGACTGGTGCGAGGGCAAGCTTGGTAGCGTCCAGGTTTTGTGTCCGTACGACCATGATACGAAAGGACCAGAAGGACGTGTAGCAGGCATATCTGACCGCTCACTCTTCGCGATGCTAGCAGAACTCAGCCTCATCAAAGGTGATAACATCACTCTCATCCTCGACTGCTGTTTCCCCAAGGCACAGCTTGGCTCAAGTGCTAGAGACCGCCGCTTCGTCCGCTATACGCCCACCTTAAAAGCCACGCCCGAAGACTTATTCTTGGGCTTGTGGCGAGGCGCCGTCGGGCGGAGCTTTAGAGGAGAATTCGGCTTCTTCCAGGACGATTGCCAGAGTCACGTCCTCCTTGCCGCCTGCCGGCCAGGCGAGAAGGCACTAGAATGGAAGGAGGGAGGGAAATTCACCTCAGAGCTTCTGACTGTGAAAGACGTACTCCCTCTCCATCAGATGAAATATTCTGATTTATCAGAGCACCTTGCAAAAGGCTTGACTCACATTCAGCAGCACCCAGTCTGCGTTGGAAGACGCAAGGACCGAGTTTTCTTGAGTGGTGTCCCATTCGTTGCTGATGCATCCCTTGTTCCTGTCAACGGCGAAAAGGACCGCCTTCGTCTGGAAATGGGAGCCATGCATGGCGTTGTTGAGGGCACCGAATTCAGCGTTCACGATCACAATCGCTTTGGCTCTATCAATCCGTCACTTGACAGCTTCCGCGTGTATGAAGTTCACCCTACGTGGTCACTCGCCAGGCGCAAGAGCATGAACAAACCTGGGGGTCGCGGTTCATGGGCACGCATTACTCGATGGAATAGCCGCACTCCTTTCCGAGTTTACGTCAAGAGGACGTGCTCTTCTATTCTCAGGCGCCTTTTCGTTCGCAACAAGAATTCAGAAGCAGAACTGGACGGTATTCCTGTAAAGGAAGGGTTGAATATTGTGCAAGTCGAGACTTCTGCTAAGGCGGACATGTCGGTCGGCGTTCACACCCGAGACGTACGGGTCCAAAATCTTGATCACCTCGTTCCTCCCACCGCCCACCCACTTATACGCATAGAGAAAGATAGGTCCAGATCTGGTGTCATCCTCAGCGAAGCCGCACGCTTCCACATGCACCTCCACCGAACCAACCCCGCCAAACCGTTCCACGAATCACTGGACATGGAAATCTTCCGGGTCGACCCTCACACCCAGCGACGGGTTGGCCCAAACCTGTTGGTTGATGGAACGGCTGCAATATCGCATAGTGAGGGTGCACGCTATGCTGTAGTCCTCCACAATCACTCAGATACAGATCTCTGGCCATATTTGGCCTATATGGATTCCAACGGAGTCGACATCCAGTTACTTTACCACCCCCAGCCATCGCACCCTATACCACCACTGCGGAAGCGCAGCTATCTTGACATAGGCTGCACGGGCAGTGGTATCGCTCCTTTGAATTTCCCTTTCCCTGATAACCAACACCAAGAATCCGCCTTTTTAAAGCTCTTCGTCTCTACTTCGTACACCTCGATGGGTTTATTAGAGCAGAGCTCTTCGGCGTATAGCTGTCCGCCCACACCTGTCCCGCCTCCTACTCCCATAGTGGAATCGAAAGATCAACCACAAAACTGGGACACTGCGCTCGTCTGCGTCATCATGAGAAGGGCGAGGGCAAAGAGCTGAGTATGAATCATAACTCCCTTTGTCCTACATCACGAGTTGAAAGGTTATCGGAGCGGGCTTCAAGTTGGCATGCAGTATTTAGGTCGCTTATTAATTTTTATAGTACTACAAACCGGCTATCTATGGCTTTATATATCGTAATAAGTAGTGGTCGATACGGAATTTTTGAAGGAATGATCCCGAATGCTAGCGCTGAGTACTGAGTAGCCGATTAAATATTTGTGATGTTTGTTTATCGCGGAATGAAGCTTCTCAGGAGCTACACAGCCACTGTAGCAAAGGTTCACCGTGACGTGCAAGCAAGAACACAGTGGCCTCACAGAACCACACGGTGAACACGAGGTTGTCTATTCCCCTGACTCAACGTTTTATGGAGCCAGAAAACCCACCTGAACCCTCTCAAGACTCCGTCAGTTTACTCAAACGACTGGCTGGTCCCTCCTCCACGAAAGCTGGGTTTGTCACCTCCAAATAATACTTGCACCTTCGAAAATATTTGACAGCTTGTAGCCTCACTCATGATCAAACTGCAATCAATCGCGTAATTGCCGAGGCTTCGAAGGGCTCCAAGTTCTATGAGGCAAGCCCACGTCATTCGAGCCACCCCCCAATCACTCAGAAAGATGTTTAGAATGAAAAGCGCAAAGACAAAGAATTATCGGAACGCATTGCCAAAATCCTGAAGCAACGTGACGAAGCCCTGCAGGGCGTCGATATACGTGCGTGAATCAGTCCGCCTCAAGTCAACGTTGGATTCGATGCTTTACCAGGTCCAATTGAGCGAAACATCGATCACCTCGTGAGCAGCAATTACAACTCAGGGAGTGCATTAAGACAAGCCACATTGTAGCTCGAAGAACTCGAATCACAGCGCGACTTGAGTCAAACCGTGGTACATGTTGACATGGATGCATTTTACTGCAGCGTTGAGCTACTTGATGACCCGTCGCTGCAAGGGAAGCCATTTGCTGTGAGCTTGCAATCTCATATCAGTACCGTGCTGTATAGTGAACTACGTTTCCTTAGGTTGGAGGCGGGGTGCTCTCCACCGCTTCCTACGAGGCGCGTAAATTCGGTGCGCGCTCCGGGATGGCGAGTCCGTCTAAGTTTTCTGTATTTCATTGCACCATTCTCACTGCAGTCCTTTCAGCATTCGTCGCCAAGAAGCTCTGCCCCGACCTCATTCTTCTGAAATCTAATTTCGAACGGTATTCAGAAATGTCTGACAAAGTCATGGACATTTTCGAGAGATATGATCCTACTATGCTCGCGGCAGGATGCGATGAAGGGTACTTGAAGTGTGTCATAGTGGGTATATTTGAGTGGGTCGGCGCTAATCGTCTGTTTACTCAGCATCACAAAGTATTGCGAGGAACATATGGTGGATGCGGATACCTGTGTACAAGAAATTCGTGACACTGTCTTCAGAGAGACATCGTTGACAGTGAGCGCTGGGATTGCTCCCAACAAGGTGTGTGTGTGTCTTTTCTTTTCAACGAAGCCGTGCTAATCTACGGTCCTCAGATGCTAGCAAAGGTCGTTTGAGACAGTTAATTCGGTTTTATTCTTGATTGAACTTTTGTGCTGTCTAGATATGCTCGGACAAGGTTCTAAGAACGTCATGAAACTAGGTGTTAGCACTGACTTTTGCTACAGAACAAGCCGAATGGGCAGTATCATCTGCCATTTGACCACACTTCCATCAAAGCTTTCATGCACGATCTCTCAATCCGCAAGGTGCCCGGGGTAGGACGTGTCAACGAGCGCCTTCTTGAGGCTCTAGGCATCAAGGTCAGTGCGAATAATGCTGCATTGAGTATGCACTGATTTCGCATAGACATGTGGTGATATCTTCAAGCATAGAGCAACGCTGCAATTAATGGATAAGCAGTTTGGCCTGGTATTCCTACTGAGAACATATCTCGGTATCGCATCCAATGTCGTACAACCCATTCAACGAGAGGAGAAGAAAAGCATCGGTGCAGAAAGGCAAGCCATATCGCTCTCGTCAGACTCGCGCTCCAACGACTATTTAGGACCTTTCACGCATTAAGTAACAAGACACAGATCCTGAGAAAATTGGAAGAGGTGGCAGGGGAACTTGAAGACGACATGGTCAGAGGGGGCTGGACAGGGAAAACGGTGACCCTCAAGTTTAAGTTGGACACATTTCAAGGTAAGCCACAGTTTGCGCAACATTTGGGCATATCATTTCCTACTTACTTCTTGCAGTCTTTACACGAGCAAAGTCATTTGACCGTTGGGTTAGTTCGAAGAAGGAAGACCTTTTTGCAGTGAGTGAAGGTCCAAAAACTCACTTTTACAATGCTCACGCGCGGTACATCAGATTGGGAAAGAATTATTGCTTCCGGAGTTGCCCCTCACACTCCGACTAATTGGCTTACGAGTCACCAAGTTGAAAGACTTGCATGCCCCGGAGCCGTTAGGAGGCATTAAGCGGGTATGCTTTATTATATTCTATCATCAACAATGACAACGAAAAGATTCTACACTGCTCCAGTTCCTCGAACCTGCAAATTCGTCGCCAAGAAAGAGACCGAGACTTGCTAGCAACGCGGAAGATTGCAACGACGAGGAACACAACACTGGAGAAGATCATGAATCGATGCCAGGGTTCTATGAAGAAGAAGAAAATGCAGAAGGGCGAGGTTTCGATGCTCCCGATGATGAGGAACAGACTCTTATATCCCATGATTCAAACCCTCTACACCATAAACGACGAACACGACCACCAGTGTCAGCCCCAGGGCCCTCGCGGACTAGGCCAAGTGATTCACCGTTCTCGGCAACCACGTCAAAACCAATGAGCGCTAGACAAGGGGATCGTGTTCGGCATCAGGACTGCCCTATATGCGGGAAGCTGTTGGAGACGGACAACAAAGGGCTGAATGCACATATTGACTTCTGTCTGAGCAGAAATGTCATCATGGAAGCTCAGACTGAAGCACAAAGCACTCCGAAGAAATCGAAGGATCTCGTACTTTCTTGGCCAAGTAGTGTGAAGGGGAAACGGAAGCGGAAAGGTTAATTGATTCCGCATTCGCAAGAGTTTTCTGGGTCTCATATGTATATCTACCAACGTCCAGAACAAACGATATTGATCGGAAAACCCGGCAACCTTACAGTTGCAGTATATCATAATCTGCTGCGTTAGAAGGTTTGGCCTGGCATTCTGTGAGCTTAATAGATGTAGACAAGACTTGATTGTCAAAGACTACCCTGGTCTAAAAGACAAGGCTGAATTCGATACTTTCCAGCGCAAATAGCAATACCTGTTTGCATATGCGGGCGCTGGTTTTGCCAAAGGTTAACTTACCGCATGCTAACATTCACCCGTACGTCCGGTAAGTTGTTATACTTTTTTGATTGCTTTGATTCCATTCATAGAATGACTGCCCTGCCACCTGCAACTGAAATCAAAGTGCATCACTTGCCTGCGTTTTGAATCAAGGATTCGAATAATTATGGCAAATGATCTCATCAAGATTGATGCCTGTGCATATAGGCTCTCGTGCACATTACTACTTTATTCCTCCGATTATTGTGCTGACTGCTTATGTATTTGGCCCAGCTGCGCACATTTCGTTCTATCTACTACTGTATCAATACATTGCATAGATCCGCGACTTCACATCGTTACTTTCGCATCCATACACTTACCACTGTCTCTTATTTACGTACAGGAATACAGCTCTTTTATGAACCGCCAGTAGCCCTTGGTTTGACAACGTGACTTCGCCCCGAGCAAGGGTCAAAAAACTCGTTCCCTATCCTTCAGCTTCAACTTGACAAGTCGCCCCTGAAGCCTGACTTGTCACTTACCAAGACTTTAGATCAACGAGTCGGCAAGCGATGAGGGCATGTTAACAACAACGAGAAGCGGCGCATTAAGCCAGTGACTGCTAGGCAGGATGGGCGCGAAGGTAACAGACCATCTCCTGAATCATCAGCACCTTCTGTTCCGTCGGCATCTGTTAAAAGCATAAAATTAATAGATCAATAATTTGCAGCCCTGTCAAAGCCCTGCAGGAGGTTACTCACTTCAAAAAAGTGGTTCATCCTTCGGTGCCTATCTTCATCTACCGCTTCCCGACGTGCGATGTCATCTACAAAAGGATGCGTACCGCCGAGATCCTGTCTCTGGTGGGAAGAAGAGCTACTAGTATTGGTAGAGGGGGCCGCCCATTCCTCTATAATGCCCCAGCCTTCATGGGAAGAAGAGCTACTAGTATTGGTAGGCGGGGCCGCCCATTCCTCCGTAACGCCCCAGCCTTCATCCTGGTCGCCCGATGTCAAGTCCGTACCAGTGGGAGCCTTGGGAACAGACACATCATCTTTACGCCTCCATCCGCGGCGGGCGCGTGAGCCTTCGGGGGTAGGATCTATAAGCAGATCATGATCATGCGTCTAGGTACCGTTCAAGGTGAGGACGTACGTTGTATCTTGTTAAATTTTAACTTTTTGGAAAAACGGGGTGCCATGGGTTCAGATCTGGAGTGCTCAGAGGATGATGGGATGATTGAGAAAGTATCAGAGCTGCCTCGGAGCCTCTGGAAGATCAGTATAAATGTCCTTCAATGCCATTGGCCGCGTGTCCACAGACCAGGACTCCAGCAGTAGCACAGTCCACAATTACGATAAGCAGCTGTATATATTCCGCATACGGAACAGCTTCATATTTCCACTGTGTACGTTGCTAATACAAGAGAACCACGAGGACAAGCCAACACCGATGCATGATGGCCATTCGGACAAGATGGGAACTCCCGAACCTCCTACTATTACTAAGCGCTAAGCAACGACAGCGTCCGAAAACTACAATATTAGTTCTAGACTATAGATAATGATCATAGATCTGTTCTGAAATCGAGAACTGTGCGAGAGAGTGAGCCTTTGAGAGTAGTCGCAAAGGAATCTGTTTGCGTTTCACTGTCCAACAGGAGCAGTAAGCATGAGAATAAAACGTGATTCGTTTCTTGAGCAGTTGGACTTCGACGAATCGACGATGTAGAGCTGTTATTCGTACTCGCGGTAGTCGCCAGCTAGTGTTTATAATTTTATCGTTGAATTCGTCGCAAAATAGGTTTTGTGGAGAGAGCGCGAGTCCATTAGCCAGTATGTGCGCTGGGAAAAGAAAAGCGAGAGCTTCGTCAATGTTTCACAGCCACGATGAGAATAGGCAACGCACGATTGCCGTCACCCAGAGGTTCTATTGGTTCCTGTGAAAATAGCATGGGAAAGGTGAGACAACAGTGGGAGGAGGACAGTGAATATCGTTTGCATATAGAGGTGAAGTGCACCATCGATCACCACAGAACCATGTGAGAAGTGTGAAGGGACGAGTGCCACAGAACGGCCGCGTCTTCTTGACTTGAGCTAGGCTTGAGGAGAGCGATGTGAGCATTACGACTCGGTGCTCATGCATGATTACCAGTTCGAGACGATTTAAGGAAGGACTATGTGTTCTTTCTATTTGGTCCACATATGAGAGACTAGTGAATAAATACCACAACGAAACTTCGAACTGAAAACAAATTCTCCCGCTACACACCATCGCTACTGGATGACAAATGCATGCGCTCCTGGAAAGCAATCGCAGTCATGGCCGTTGCTGCATCGGAGTCGGCCACGAGCTTGGCGTGATATTCTCGAACGCCGAGGATCAGGCGTGGTCCTAGCACGAACATTTGCACAAAACGGAACACCATGAGAAGCCCCACATAAATCTGGGATCCCAGGGCATATTCATCCTATATGAATGATGAACCGTGGTCGCATGCAGAGGTTGCCGACTGATCAACATACCGCTAAAATTGTCGAAAACAAAGAACCGAGACCGAGGCACGAAACACCAACAACGCTAGCACGTCCGGGACGTCAGCAGATAAGGGGACCCACATTAACCTATGAGCTCACCTCGCAAAGTAAATCAGGTGAGTTTTCATCAACACCGTGAAGCAATCGTTGATGATTCCTCTTCCAGGATGTCGTCGCAGTTCACGGAAGCGTTTCACGGCAATCCAGACTGCCAGAAATAGTGCGAGGACCTCCCATACAGTGCCGAGAATCCAAGTTATGGAATCCAGAAGCAAATAATCTCCCTTGTAATCAGTCGCGCACTGATAAGTGCCGGAGATAATGACCTCCTCTGGTATTTGTTCATGAGCCTGATGCACTGAAGTCTTTGAGTCGCAATTGAACATACCCCTTGGAATATCCCTCATTGCTATTGCTATTGCGATAGCCACTCCGACGAATATGTTGCCAGCAACCAAGATGACAACGAGAGGTATCAGTACCTTTCTGGATCGCCGATACATGGCATATAACCGAACGAGCATGACCACTTGCATGATATTTCAGTTACTTCGAGATCACCGAGGTATTCACTCACCTCCCAGTATCGCATTTGCGGCGATATCAATCCAATTCACGACGATGATTAGAATAAAGCCTGACAAATCCAGTAAGTAATGTTAGTGGTCAGCCTCAGGAAATAAACACTCGAAACCAACTCACAGCTGTGGCAGTCAGTATATTGAACCAACAAAATGGTCAAGAATATCACTCACCCCTACATGGGAGCGCAGATGATTAGACGGGAATGGCATACATCATTGTAAAATACTTACTGCATCTGTCGTTGAGATCGTCGGAACATACACTGCATGCAGCCCATCAGAAGAAACAAACGCGATGTATGAGGAGACATACACAGTATGTTGGTGCTAATTGTGAGACATGATTAATGAGCACGACACCAATTACTCAGTCTATCAACTTACACAGCGTACGATATTCCAAGATAGCGCACCTAGGATATTCTCATGTCAGCACGACCTTGCCAACAAACAATTATAACAAACGTACACTGAGAAACAAAACGGTTACAAGGGACCAGCGTTGCCTCTGCCATGAATTGATTATATTTTCAAGTTGCTCTTCTAGTGAGGCACTCTGCTCACCCAGACCAGTTCAACCTATGGACCCATTCTTAGTGAGATTCTTGCTTTAGCCACGAATATGAACGTACCTCTTGTCCAAAAGTCACTACTAAAGATACCATAAGAACATCTCCGGCTTTTCATACTAGGTTGCTCACCCCAATCATACATTACCCCAGCAGAGGCGGCAACTACAAAACCATAGTCACGGTTAGAACGGGGCGTCAGCCGACTAGACATCTACGAGCCTACGAAATTGCTGCAAATACGATACGAACTGATCAAGGGCCACAAACTGGGATCATTTAAGATTAGAGTCATGGTATTCGAGGAATGGATGTGAGCGAGCTTGCGAACCCGGTCGACAGGCATTCGTGCAAAATATAGCACCGTCCAGCGCTTGTATGCCCTAAACAAACGTAATGGGGTGATGTTCGTTGCTGTTGTGATTGATGAAATGACAAAAATTCACAGGATGTCAGACATGTCATACTTGAGCTTGACTTTGCACCGGAAGGCACTGAAGTACTACTGAAGCACCGGTTTGCGCTGCTCATAATAAATTAAACCGCGGGGTTCAACATACTAGTAATACCCTGAATTCGCGATGCCGCGGCGATATAGACTGATCCGACGTAGTAGTTAGCAACTTGATGATGTGGTCTATCTGAAAGTAAATCTCATAACACCAAGTATGTGATATCGAGAGTGGAGAGAGATAGATGCTCACCATCACTAGCAGAAGATTTGTATGTGAGCCACCAATTTACCTTGCTCACCTAGAGTGGCTGATTTTGACACTCCGACATAACACCGAATTAGCTCCCGCGATGATTTTTCAATTCATACGTTTGTCTTCGACGACTCACAACACCGGACTTTGAGCTGAAATATTCACCGGCGACAATGAGTGAGAATTTGGAAATCTGACGAAATTCACAAAAAAGCACCATATCTGCTACTGCAATTGGGTGACTATCTGTAAGCCAGAATAGATTATAATGGACTTTGAAACATATTTGCAAAAGATAATCCATACAGAAAACCAACAGTTTACTGATACTTCAGACACAGAATCACGTACATAAACAAACTCTCCCGCTCCCTGCAGAATGTCCGCCGAGTGTTAATCACATCGAGCATCTCCCGCTACACACTACTGCTGGTTGACACATGAACGCCCTCCTGGAAAGCAATTGAATCCATGCCGTTTGCTGGATCAAAGTCGGTCGTGAGCTTGGCATGATATTCTCGAACGCCAAGGATCAGGCGTGGTCCTAGCACGAACATCTGCACAGAACGGAACACTAAAAGAAACCCAAAATAGATATAGGCTTGCATGGAATTTGGTTCCTTTATAAATGATGAGTCGCATGCAGATGTTAGCAACTAATCGACATACCGCTAAAATTGTCGAAAAAAAAGTACCGAGACCGAGACACGAAACACCAACAACACTAGCACGTCCGGGACGTCAGCGGACAAGGGGACCCACATTCACCTATGAGCTCACCTCGCAAAGTATACTACGTGAGTTTTCATCAACACTGTGAAGCAGTCGTCGATAATTCCTCCTGCAGAATGGCGTTGCAATTCACGGAAGTGTTTTACGGCAATCCAGACTGCCAGAAACAGTGCGAGGACCTCCCATACAGTGCCGAGTATCCAAGTTATTGAAGTCAGAAGTAAATAATCTCCCTTGTAATCAGATGTGCACTGATAATTGCCGAAGAGAATGGCCTCCTCTGGTATTGATTCGTGAGCCTGATGCACTGAAGTCTTCGAGCCATAATCAAACATACCCGCTGAAATATTCCTCATTGTCATTGCGGAGGCCACTACGACGAAAACGATGGCGGGAACGAAGATGACAACGAGAGATATCAGCACCTTTCTGGATTGCTGATACATGGCATATAACCGAACGAGCATGATCACTTGCATGATATTTCAGTTACCTCGAAATAACCGAGGTATTCACTCACAGCCCAGCATTGCAGTTACGACCATAGCAATCCAATCCACTGTGATGGTCAGGATAAAGCCTCAAAAATTCAGCAATGTTAGTGGTCAGCCTCAGGAGATCAAACACTCGAAACCAACTCACAGCTGTGGGAGTCATTATATTGAACTAACAAGATGGTCAAGAATCACTCACCCCTACATGGGAGTGCAGGTGATTAGACGGGAATGGCATGCATCATTGTGAAATACTTACTGCATCTGTCATTGATATCGTCGGAACATTCACTGCATGCAGCCCGTCAAAACAAACAAACACAATGTATGAGGGGACATACACAGCACAGAGAGGCTGATTATGAGACATGATCGATGAGCACAGCACCAGTTATCTTGTCGATCAGACTTACACAGCGTATGATATTCCAAGATAGCGCACCTAGGATATTCTCATGTCAGCACGATCTTGTTAACAAACAATTATAACACAAGTCACATACACTGAGAAACAAAACGGTTATAAGGGACCAGCGTTGCTTCTGTCGCGAATTGATTATATCTTTGAGTTGTTTTTAGTGCGGCACTCTGCTCACCCAGACCAGTTCAACCTATGGACCCATTCTTAGTGAGATTCTTGATCTGGTCGTGAACACGAACGTACCTCCAGTCCGAAAGTTAGTACTAAAAATACTGTCAGAATATCTCCGGTTTTTCATACTAGGTTGCTCACCCCAATCGTACATCACCCCAGTAGAGGCGACAACTACAAAAACATACTCCAGGTTAGATCGGAATATCGGCCGACTGGACATCCACGAACCTATAAAATAGCTGCTGATACGATACGAACTGATCAAGGGCCACAAACTGGGATCATTTAAGAGTAGAGTCATGGTAGTATTTGAGGAATATATGTGAGCAAGCTTGCGAACCCGGTAGACAGGCATGCGTGCATAATATAGCACCATCCAGCGCTTGTATGCCCGAAACAAACATAACAGAATGATATTCGTTGCTATTGTGATTGATTAAATGACAAAATCCACAGGATGTTAGATATGTTACATTTGACATTGCACTGGAAGGCACTAAGCACCGGTCCGCGCTGCTCATAATAGATTAAACCGCGGGGTTCAACATATCTGAATTCACGATGCGACAGTCACCCATTACTGTTTTGCGGCTGCTGGAATGTGACGGCGGGCAGAGCATTGAACGAGTGACCATTTGAAGGGACTTTCGCGTAACAAGTGTGACCCTTTTGTTTGAACAAAATCAAATCCGGTCTATCGATATGGAAGTAGCTGTAAAATCGTTGATCGTTTAAGCTGGTTGATCTCGGAGAGCGAAGCACGGAGTTCGAAAGTTTGCAATTTGAAGGGCTACCAGTCGAAGTAGTGGTGCCACGCTAGTAGTCCCCTTGACTATCAACCACACGCTCAGGCACTGGACAGTAGAAAGTACCGCACCTTTCCCGGTTGCGCTGCAGCACTAAAATTGGAATAGGACACTGCAAATGATACCATTTGTTCTATATTGTCCACAACCACCACTGCAACATGCTCTATCGCCTGAATCTTTAGCATGGGAAGTAGACCCTTGCAGCCTCAGCAAAGAGGAAAAAGATATGTGGATGACGGTCATGGACCTCAGCAGGTTATGAAAACTTCCTGTGGATATCACACGCTACATAGAAGATCTTGAAAATGCTGTCTGACAGGTAACACTCTCACTCACACTCCTCAATGTTTTGATTGATTGCGATATAAAAAAACCCATATTCCTCGGATTCCTTGACCTGTAATCCAGAAGCGCAAATTTCAAGCGACGAAAGACTCGGAAAGAGATATCCAAACTTGCAGCGTACATGGTCTTTTTGAAGCGATTTTAGAGGTGTAACTGTGGTAGCCTGTTGCAGCTCGAAGGATCATATGGCTTCCTGCAAGCAAAGATATGAGAGCCTTGAGTTGAAATAACTTGGGATGTTTGGTGCCTTGAGTTGATTCTTGAAACCAAGGCGCGCGAATTTCGAAAGCTTCGAATACTCGCTGGAACTGTATCGTTGAAAGCGTGGTTGTAAAGTCCGTCGCATAGAAGGCTGTCGAAAGCATTCAAGGCAGATATTGACATGGGCATACAGATTCAATGTTAAAACTCATGATCATAACATTAGAGATGCGGCAGCAAAAACGGTACTAGCGTTTGTACCACAGGGACCGGCACAAACGGCACCTGCAAATTTTCAAACTCCGTGCTTCGCCTGCCAAATCTCTCCGAGCCTATCGACAGTCTGACTATGTCAATGCCTCCGCGACCTGTAGTAGAAGGACCCACTCAATGCCATCATGTCTAGCCGCTCGCCATCATGTTCTTCGTACAATTCTCTCACCAAGGGATCTCAGCATCGAGCTCTCTGTCTTGCGTGACGCAAAACAATCCAGGTCATTTGTTACTGGCCGGCGGCGGACTCGGAACGCCAGCAGCTGCACCCGAGCATACAGCAGTAGCGCTCAAACCTCTGAGCATTCTTTAGGGAAGAAGGCGTCTTCAAGTAAACACGAGGTTTCAGCTCTCTTGCACAGAATATCAGCATTTTTACCTCGCGCACTACCGGGATCTAATACCACTGACGGAGGAATACAGTCTTCCCAACTCTGGAGTGAACTTTTGAGCGAAGTCGACACAGATTTATGTTCCCCGCCAGAAGCGCATACGAGTACTCGTGTTCCAGACCTATTTGTATCTAAATGTACTTCTGACCAGAACACAGAATCACATACATATAAATACCAAAACGAAATATCGAGCAAAAACGAACTCTCCCGCTCCCTGCAGAGTATCTGCCAAGTGTTAATCACATCGAGCATCTCCTTCCACACTACTGCTGGTTGACACATGCACGCGCTCCTGGAAAGCAATTGAAGCCATGTCGCTTGCTAAATCGGAGTCGGCCACGAGCTTGGCATGATATTTTCGAACACCAAGGATCAGGCGTGGTCCTAGCACGCACATCTGTATAGCACGGAACACCATGAGAAGCCCCGCATAAATCTGGGATCTCAGGGTATCATCCTATACAAATGATGAACCGTGGTCGCATGCAGAGATTAGCAACTAATCAACATACCGTCAAAATTGTCGAAAACTGATTACTGAGACCGAGGCACGAAAGACCAACAACGCTAGCACGTCCGGGACGTCAGCGTACAAGGGGGCCCACATTCACCTATAAGCTCACCTCGCAAAGTAAACCAGGTGAGTTTTCATCAACACCGTGAAGCAGTCGTTGATAGTACTAGTTCCTCCTGCAGAATGCTGCTGCAATTCACGGAAGTGTTTTACGGCAATCCATACTGCGAGAAACAGTGCAAGAACCTCCCATACAGTGCCGAATATCCAAGTTATGGAATCCAGGAGTGAATAATCTCCCTTGGTATCAATCGCGCACTGATAAGTGCCGGAGAGAATGACCTCCTCTGATAATTTTATGAGCCTGATGCACTGAAATCTTTGAACCACAATTAGACATACCCCCTGAAACATTCCTCATTATCGTTGCGGCAGCCACTACATCGAAAATGATGGCGGGAACGTAGATGACAACGAGAAGTAACAGCACCTTTCTGGATCGCTGATACATGGCGTATAAACGAACGAGCATGATCACTTGCATAATGTTTTAGTTATGTCAAGACCACCGAGGTATTCACTCACGGCCCAGCATTGCATTTGCGACTGTACAAACCCAATCCACTGCTATTAGCTGAATAACGCCTGAAAAAATCAGCAATGTTAGTGATCAGCCTCAGGGGATAAACACTCGAAACCAACTCACAGCTGTGGCAGGTATTACATCGAACTAACAAGATGGTCAAGGATCTCACTCACCCCTACATGAGAGTGCAGGTGATTAGACGGAAATGGCATGCATTGTTGTGAAATACTTACTGCATCTGTCATTGATATCGTCGGAACATTCACTGCATGCAGCCCGTCAAAAGAAACACACACAATGTATGAGGAGACATACACAGCATAATGAGGCTGATTATGAGACATGCAAGTGGTCGATGAGCACAGCACCAGTTACATCGTCGATCAGACTTACACATATGATATTCCAAGATAGCGCACCTAGGATATTTTCATGTCAGCACGAGCTTGTTAACAAACAATTATAACACAAGCTACACACACTGAGAAACAAAACGGTCATAAGAGACCAGTGTTGGCTCTGTCACGAATTGATTATATTTTTGAGTTGTTTTTTCAGTGCGGCACTCTCAGGCTCACCCAGACTAGTTCAACCTGTGAGCCCATTCTTAGTGAGATTCTTGCTCCGGTCATGGACATGAACGTACCTCTAGTCCGAAAGTTAGTACTGAAAATACCGTAAGAGTATCTCCGGGATTTTCATACTAGGTTGCTCACCCCAGTCGTATATCACCCCAGTAAAGATGGCAACTACGAAAACATAGTCCGGGTTAGATCGGAATATCAACCAACTGGACATCCACGAACCTGCAAAATAGCTCAGGATACGATTCAGACTGATCGAGGGCCACAAACTGGGATCATTTAAGATTAGAGTCATGGTATTCGAGGATGGATGTGTGCGAGCTTGCGCACCTCGCATACGGGTGTTTGTGCAAGGTATAGCACCATCCAGCGCTTGTGTAGCCCGAACGAGCATAAGAAGGGATGACATTCACTGCTATTTTGATTGATTGAACTGATGAAAACAGATTTGAAATTCACCGGATACTCGACTATGCACTTGAAGGTGTTGAAGCGTCAGTCCGGTGCTCATAATTAGACCGCGAATTTCAACTTATACCCTGATATCATGATCGTCATGTCATAGGTCGGCGACATGGTCTATTTAAAAGTGAATCTTGTACTAAGTATCCCGAACCGTTGACAATGACTAGTTGACTAGTGACTATCAATCAATCACTAACTATCAAATACGTTCACGCACTGCACAGTACTACATGATCCACATCTTTCCCAATTTGCAGCACTAAAACTGAAATAGGATACCACAAATGATCCCATTTGCTCCATATTGTCCACTACTTTTCAGTGATCAGAAACTAGCCAAGATGCCATATCGTACTCACAACCTAGAAGTACTCTCTGCAGTAGCCAGAGTAATTAAATTAGTCAAAGGAATGCAATAGTTGTATCCAACCTACCCATCGGGCCTTCACCGTCACCTTCATTATTAGCATTCGCTTCGTCATCAGCCTTGACCTATGTTTTGATATCGAGCATAGTCAGTTAACAAAGTACAGTGTGAATAAGACAATTACACACTTTGAAAAGACTGTGCGTGAGTTTGATGACCTGAGGCCAAGCGAATCGTAATGCGACATCTCCTAGTGGTGGGCTCACACCATTCAACGTGTATGTTGCCCTATCACGAGGCCGCGGCCGGGGCAACATTCGACTATTGCGGGATTTCGATGAAAAGTTGTTGATGTCACATCATTGTGGACACTTGCGAGTTGAAGACGAGAGATTAACGAGGTTGGACGTGGATAAGTAGAAATGGTGATATCAAAAGACGCGGGAACCAGGTCCCAGGAGAAGAACTTCCAATTGATATGTAGTAGTATCGGCGATTGCGCTATGTTTTGCAAGCATCGTGCATACAATGTAAATTTGTCTATTACTTCCCACGGCCGCATAACTTTAATCGACCAGTCTGACTATGTCAATGTCCCCGGCGACTCCCCGCGACCTGTAGTAGAAGGACCCACTCGATGCCATCATGTCTAGCCACTCACCATCATGTTCTTCGTACAATTCTCTCACCAAGGGATCTCAACATAGAGCTCTACGCAAAACAATCCAGGTCATTTGTTACTGGCCGGCGGCGGACTCGGAACGCCAGCAGCTGCACCCGAGCATACAGCAGTAGCGTTCAAACCTCTGACAATTCTTTAGGGAAGAAGGCGTCTTCAAGTAAACACGAGGTTTCAGCTCTCTTACACAGAATATCAGCATTTTTACCTCGCGCACTACCGGAATCTAATACCACTGACGGAGGAATACAGTCTTCCCAACTCTGGAGCGAACTTTTGAGCGAAGTCGACGCAGATTTATGTTCCCCACCAGAAGCCCATACGAGTGCTCGTGTAGTCGGTGAGTCCTCCATCCGACTTTTTATGTTCATGTATCCAACGAAGTAACCTATTTCCAGTATGCGGAGCTGACCAGTGGGCCGGCTCTCATGAGCTCATCACAGCTCTCCTCGAAAACCCGTTTACAACTGATGAAGCTTACAGCGACATCCTACGAAACCGGTGGAAAAACCAGTCTGCCTACCTTACAATCGAGTGCGTCCATGTTTATGTTCAATGTCGGTGCAGGATGCTTAACAGATATCCTAAATAGGTATAGACCGTCGACTTCCCTGGTCAACGGCACCCTCACCATCCCTGCATCTTGGCTCCAACAATACCCCTTCCCCATACAACTCACCGAAATCTCATCCCTCTCCTCCTATCCCTCCCTCCCAAAAACGTTCCTCAAAGGAGACGTGCTAATCTTTATTTGCAACCCACTAACAAAAGACATACCCACGCTCATCTCCAATGCCCAGCATATTCTTCAAAGACCGAACACAATACTTGTTCTCACCGCTTCTAGCACATCCGAACATGCGCTAGATTACATTTCCAAGGAACTGGCAGCTGCAAATTGCACCCCCGGAAAGATTCTTGCTGTAGACCCTATTCGTGCCTTGGAAGCCGTTTCTGCTCTAAAGGCGGATCCTTCCTCTCCTGCTGCTATTCAGAGATACCAGGAGGATTTTATGGGGTCGAGAATATCGCTTCTTGGTGATGTTTTGGCCGGGATGCTTGGGTTGAAGGACTCGGGTCGCACGTCGTCGTTGTTGTTAGCTATCCGCACCCAGAGTGCTCTGATACAGATGCGGAGCGCGTTGTATGCTAGTGCCCGATCGGTATCCCAAGCACGCCTAGCGATAGACCGCGTCTTTACAGGTGCCAGCGAGTTGCAATCCCAAGTCGAAGAAATCCGTGCGAGAACAGACAGGGAGGTGCTCGTAGAGTCCGGAATAGATGACGCCCTGCTTCGCGGTTCGAAAGAGATGAAAGCCATACTAGAGTCGTTGACTTGGCTGAAGATGGTATGGCGCGTAGATGAGATAGATTCTTTGGTAAGTTCCGCGCTGGACAGGTACTGGTGTAGGGAACTTGAAAACCAGGTGTGCACGCATCGCATAAATATTTTTTTCTATTGTAAAACTGTTAATCTATAGCTCATCCTTCAAACGGGTCGTCTCGCCTCTACCCAAGCATCCCTAACATCATCCACTTTTTCTCAACTCACCAAACTCGCATCTCCATCACCATCTCCTGCCTTCCATTCCCCTATTCTCGACAACCATCTCCGTCAACTGATACACTCCCCAACATACGCACTCACCCCAAATACCCTTACCCGCCCCATACAAGCACGGCGTTCTCAGCTGACACAACACACCACCACGCGGTTACACCGTGATGCCCAGAACACAGTATTGGGTGCGTTTGGTGGTATGTTTGGCGGTGTTGGTGTAGCATGGTGGCTTGCATTTGGAGAGAGCGCTTTGAGTCTTGGCACTGGTTCCGAAGCTGGGACTGCGTTAGGTGCTGGTGCACTCGCTGCTGTTGCTAGTATAAGATGGGCGGTGGGTAAATGGGAGCGAGCAAAGAGGAAATGGGTAGAGGATGCCGATAGGGTTGGCGAGGGGCTGAAGAGGGATCTCAAGGTGAGCTTCGATAGATTTTTGTTTTGTATTGACTAGGCTTACGTGTGCGTATTTGATAGGTGACTCTGGAGCGAGGGATTGAGAAGAATGTTGCGGTTGTTCCTATGGCGGCGTATGAAGGGCTGCGAGAGCTTGCTGGGAAACAACAGGAAGAGATCGATGTTGTCAGGAGCGATCTTATTTCGATGCAAGCCGACGTTGAAGCGCTTGAAACGGCTCGACCTTCATAGTGTGTAGCATGATTGGATATACTGATTTTGATTCAAATAGATGCTACGCTAACTCGTGTACATAATGCTATAAAAATTCCGCTGCATCGTTTGTTCAGGAGCGAATCAGAGACCTTATTTTGAGACGGACGGACGTTGAAGTGCCTTCAAAAGAGTGCAGCATGATTGCATTTGTTCCGGATGATTTAGATTTGTGTATATGCAAATACGTGCTGAGCTAAATGATGGTATACATGATGCCATAAAAATCCGTGTGCGTTCATGAACTCGTGATAAGTATCTTTGGAGGGGGAAGGGAAACGTGTTGCGAACTTTCGCGCTGCGGTCGTGGTGTGCCTGCATCATCCTCTTCGTCACTGTCGTCACCGACACCAAACAAATCTTCTCTTTCGTCCCAGACGTCATGTAAGCGTGCGACTTTAGCAGGCTTTGACCTGGATGGGGCTGAGGGATGAGAGTACAAGGGAAGGAGCTGTGTTCCAGACATTCCTTCGTCTTCTGCATCGGAAATATCGTTCGTCTCTAATGGGCGGTATAGGCGTGCGATCTGAAGAATCGGGGGTCGCGTGAGATCGCTGGACGAGGCAGGAAGCGGCTCACCTCTCGCTGCGAACGGTAATATCTCTCGATATAATATGCAAGATAGAGTCCGACGGTGGAACCCAGCCAATTTGCCTGTCGAGTATGATTACTGGATGAAAGGCGCCAAAGCCAAGAGAACATACCACCACATCACCAGATTGAAACTCCTTATGCTAGTTCCGCATGATATCGTCGTACACGCTCAGACGAGGAAAGTGAAACGTACTGGAAGCATGGACTGCACGATCTCGCTCACGAACCCTCCAAAGAAGAAACATACGACAGCGGTAAATATCAGCCCTGAATGGCGCCAGAACCAAATTCTACGAGCTTCTCTATAATGAGACCCAAATATTCAGCAAATAGCCAATCAGCAAAAATGTCAGAACTTACTCCTCCACGTCGAATATGAAGTAAAACACACCCGTCGCGACGCACAGACAAGTAAAGTGTAGGAACTTGTCGTTCAGGGGTAGGGCCCGGGAATAGTTCGTGAAACCTAAGAAAGCAAGCGTCACCATTATCACGCAGGTGAACACGAGGAACCACTAATGAATTTAATGATCGTGAGCGACTAATGCCTTCGTGTGATAGTCCCGAGGGAGGCCTACCGGTCGCAGTCGAACGGGTAAGTCGTACTTTGGAAGTTGAACTCGATGAGACTTCATTATGGCCTTTGAAATTTTCTTGAAATGCTTGCGCATTGGCTTTGACGGCGAGGTTGGAGAATTTGATGTCATGGGTAGTCGGATGAGTGCTCAGCGCTCAGCCATGGCGAGCGCGGGTGAGCAAGTCGATTACGGCTCCGCAGCCGGGAAGTTATTTCCTTATATAATTGTAAGAACGCCGGAGCCCCCAGGCGTGAACTTCCGATAGTCTCCTCGGATATGTATGCAGGTGAGCTTCTAAGTTACTTATTTTCCACGACGAGTCCCTTCAACCTACACAGCAGAACACTATCTTTCTCTGCCGCAAGGTAATGTACTTATAAAGATAACGCAAAATTGAACGCGGACTAGCCTATCCGATCCATGAGGAAACTAATACTTCTGATGCAACCTGAGGCCAAGTTGAGGCCTGAAACGCGCCTCCAATTGATTCTACTACACAGACTGCGGAACGCACAAATAAGATATCATGATAACGCCATAGAACACATGGACGACAGATCTTTGATGACATTTCGAACTAACTACTATTGATTATCACCAGGGGCCATCAGTTTGTGTATCAGTCACAGAATGATAATTTTAGCCAGTCTCGCGGTCCGCTTCAAGTTGGCATTCAGTATTTATTCAGGCTCGTAGGGCAATTCTGGAGCATTACAGTTTAGTTTTACTGGGGTTTTAAGATTTGTGACGGCAGTGTGGTTTTGGAGGATGCGCGAGGTGTAGAACTGGTGGTAAGCGGTAGTACTTCAAGTTTGAAGATAAACAATATTACTAATGTCCGTGAGTTGTGCAGGTTCGGCCTAACGATTCCAAGTTAGACCAAATTTAGCGGGTCAGATTCTCGAAAATTCGACGATTTATGTTCGGTCATGAGGCCTCACCGTGAATGTCGGGATTCTGGCCAGTCTTGGTACCTCGCAGCATGCTTGGCAAATTCAAGCGGGATTGAATCAGTCACTCGTAGGTACGGCTCACCTAATAATATCATCCCAAAGTTCCTGCCCGCTGCCCTCCAGTTGTCAGGAATTCTATTTCTATGTCCACCTGCCGCCACTGGAGGTGGTGTCAATGGAATCCTTCATTTAGATACCGCTCGAACCGAGATGGCAGCCCTTTTCAGCCAGAAGTATGTCGGGCGCGACGAGGACAGCCTGACAGGGACGGTGTGCGGCTGAGGTTGTAGAATATCATCTTTAAGAAGGCTGGTACGCCGGAGAAAGGTGCTAAAATGGAACTGGCATGGTGGCAAGCTAATCGACGATCGTGTTGCTGCATGCAGCAAAGAGAGACATGGCGGCGGCGGCGGCGTGTGGAAGCGTAATGTGACTAGGCCTCGGGTCTTCAAACTCCGTCAGAGCATCGCCACCTGGACGTCAGACTTATACCCGCCCTCACCTCAGCAGTGGGGTCCGGATTAGTACTTAGGCCATTTTTGTCCGGAGGGATAGATCAGGTCTTCAACAGCGCCGAAAATGACAGGGTGAGCTATCTAGCTGGAACACTCCATGATGATACTAAATATACTAAACCCTCCCCTCCTCGAATTTCAAGTTGGCGAACCGCCCGCAGTGAATACCAAGTATTTGTTTCTCAGCCCTGAGCGCTGAGAGCAAATTGTCCCTGAATCCTTCTCAGTAAGTTATCTGAGGGGATATGTGCAGACTTACTAGTAAAAGCTTGTGGAGTTGCCATGCTCCGAGTCGTAACCTTGCATAGCAGCTAGCAAGATACGAGGCAGCCGGCGCAACGCTGTTTATTTGCGATTGCTGATCTTGTGGGTTTCTTTTATTTTTACCTTGACAATAGAATGCGATCACTGAAAATAAACAAGATTAGCTAGTAGCTGGAATGCTAACAAGAATGCAGTCGCTCAGGTGAGTAGCTCGTAATATAACCTACAAACTGCTACCCTAAAATCTGTCCAGGCGTGAATCAGGCCTTCGCCATACCGACTTGCATTTGTCCAGTCGGACAAAGTATAGCTCCCCGCGACGGCAGAACACTGAAATTTGTCATGATTGCATCAAAAATACACCCCTCAGACCTTAAACAAATATGGACTGGCCTCTGGCTCCCTGCCTACCTACATTCCTTCAGGGGTCCTCGTATCTCTTGTGACCAACGGCCGTTTCATAAATGCCGCTAGGGAAACGCTCGGGTTCAGTCACCTTGAAAAAGGATGCAGAAAGCAGCGGTAGCACAAATTACATCCCATCAGAATGGAGGGTACTGCTACACACAATGGTTCCACAACGTTGTTGGGCGACGTAACATTTCGGATGGCATCAGCACCAACAGTAGACTCCAGCCTTTACAGTCTGTCTTCCGAACAGGCTGAATTCTTCAAGGCGCAAACCGGTATTGACGACGACGAAGACTTGAAGAGGCATATCCTGGAGGTGCAGGCGAAAGCATATCAGGCGAGTCATTCCCAGTGGACTTCGTAATAGGTCTAATAACTATCTATCGTTGACAGGTTGCACCATATCCTTGCATTCGTTCATTTGTTTTCCTTCGGTATATTTTCAGTGAATCTGCACACCCAACAGAAATATAACATTCCTCAGGTTAAACTTATCAAGTCTTTCTGTATACGAACATATCCTTGAGCTTGGTCGCAAGCGCCCTGATGCCGTGTTACTCGACATTGGTTGTTGCTGTAGGTCAAACCATGATGTTCTGTCGTAAATAATATTGACTCCGTTGTAGTCGGTACTGATGCCAGAAAGGCTGCGGCAGACGGCTTTCCTGCCAAAAACATCATTGCATCAGATCTCTTCAACGGTAATATTTTTTTCCTGTGAATAATCATTCTTGTTAACGAACTGTATGTACAGAGTTTCTCCAACTAAGCCACGAACTATTCAAAACGACACCAGCTTCTTATCCCGGATGCTTCCTACCTGGAGATGTCTTTGATCCGGCATTTCTCTCCATAGCTGCGCCGACGGATGACGTCACTCCGGCGCCAGCTATTGATTTGTCCTCTTTGAAATCCCTGAACCACCTTCATGGTCGCATTAGCGTAATAAACGCTATTTCATTCTTCCACCTCTTCAGCGAGAAGAAACAATTCCTCGTTGCCAAAGCTCTCGCGGGTCTGTTATCTGCGCAGCCAGGTTCCGTTATCTGTGGTTACCACGTCGGAAGTCTCGAAAAAGGAATAGTAAATAACAGTCTCCCGGGCTCCGAGTATGGGTTGTTCGCTCATTCTCCCAAAACTTGGTCATCTTTGTGGGACGGAGAGGTCTTCAAGAAGGGCAGTGTGAAGGTAGAAACAGAGTTGGTGGAAATTGAGACTCGCGATGTGCAATTCTTCATGATGAAGTGGTCAGTGATGAGATTGTAGATACAGGCATCGCGGTCGATTTGAGGAAGTGTTTTACAAGGTTTGTCGATAATCTAGTTATAGCTCAGGTTCAACCCTCTGCCAACGGTTCATAATTCTACCAATGTTATTAACGATACTAGAGCACAGTAGTATCATATTGCCTGTACTTACATCGGGTGTTACCCCGCGGTCGACAAATAGGATTTTTGAAAAGGTTCAACCCGTTTAACTGCTAATGACAAGGGAATCTAAGACTGACCCTCAATTTCCATGTAGTAAGTACATTGGATAGTCCGGCTGTTTCAAGTCCACGCGCATAGCCTGTATACCCGCGGTGTTGCATTTGCCCGCGGGTACACAAACAAACGTGGTTCACCCAACACTCTCGTCCTCTCGGTTTCTTTTCTTTAGAGCCTTCATGATCTCAGTAAGGTCCCCGGGTGCTACCAGATCACAGCAGAGCCATGAGCCAAGACAGAGGAATGCACGGGTTGATGATGGAGACAAGCGGTTTCGAGTAAAGTGTAGAAGGTGCCGGCCTAGCGAAAATATACGTTCGACTGTAGTTGAGGTAGCTATGGTGTATGTGTGTAACACACAAGCTGCGATGCTACCAGGGATACTAAGGTAATCAACTAATCAAGTGCAAATTTGGATACGTCTTTGAGCACCGCGGAGAAGATTCGGAGATAGTGCGGATACCCGTGAACATTCCCATATACGGTCCTTCGGTGGCTCTCGGGTCACGTCCTGGGAAGTTACATCCTCATATGTCAATGTACGTACTTGACTGCTAGCCGGGCACCCCGGGCCACACCTGCTGCCCGATTCATGATTGCAAGGACTCGTCTGCTAGCCATCAGTCGTGCCATGTCGACCTCGACGCGCTCCCCCACATGCCCACTATCACAATTTTCCGCTTGTGAAATCTCAGACGCCCTCATAAAGCTCGGATCTCCAAACGGAGGATACATCCCAGACATTCACATGCTCTCCCCAACATCTCAAGTCAAGATCTGTGCACCAGCATACACCGTCCAAATGGTACTCGCATCAGACAATTCAGCCCCAAAGCTCTCCTCCCATTTCGTAGATACCGCACCCCAAGGGTCTGTAATCGTCGTCGACGCCCCACCTCGTTCAGTTTGTTCAACTCCCCGTTCCATGTCCGAACTTTCACACTCATTTCTATCGCAGAAACAAAGAATGCAGTTTGGGGTGGTTTGATGACTGCGGGCGCACAAGCTCGGGGAGCTGTCGGCGTCATTATCTCTGGGCGTTGTAGAGACCTCGCTGAACATCGTGCAGCGGATTTCCCGGTCTTTGCGCGTGGCCATTCAACAGTCGGGCAGTCCCCTTTCGTACGCCCGTCTGGTGTAAACGTCACCCTCACCATCCATCCCAAAGATGCTGGCGATAGCTCAGACGCATTCGCTTCTGTCACAGTGACACCAGGCGACTGGATCGTCGCAGATGAAGATGGTGTCGTTTGTGTGCCAGTGGGCATGGTAGACAAAGTCGCGGAACTTGCTAAGAAGGGACAAGAGATCGATGCCAAGTGTATGGCTGACATTAAAGCTGGAAAGGGCATCCAGGCATCTTTCAAGGAGCACAGGGGCAAATAGAAACACGATATTTGGGCTCGTTATCCTCAATGCGCATTGAAATACTGGATATGCATACATACGTCGTTTAACAGCCCTACATCAAGTAGTCATACCGGCTTGAATACTGTACAAACATGGTCCTCGACAACCCCAGTTAGATTTTTTTTCGCAAAGTAAGAGAGTGCGCATATGTCATGTCTAGAATATTCATGCACGGAGACCAGCTTTGAGAGAAAGCGTGGTCTTCAGAGTGTGGAGAACGAAACGAACGCTGTGGTGCAGAGCCCAAAGAAGAGAGACTGAAGGAAAAAGATCAGTCGCACATCTCATAGAGATTAAAATGCGCATACTCAGCAAGATAGGAAGCCAGAACAGGACGAGCATCCGGTCGCCTGAAAGGAGGTATCAATTAGACTCATCGTCGTTTGAAATACTGATGCAACACTTACGCCCATGCTGCGCTTTCTGCGCATCATTTACAGGCCTATAACCATACGACTCCACTTCTTGAGCTGGCACAGAAGCTGTGGCTGTGGCATAACTAAGGCGCCTGCTCGGGCCTGTAAGACGCGCAGGTACCTCCGCATCTAAAGCAGAGGACTCCTCAGTGCACGACGTACTAGCCACAGGCTCCTCCGGTCGCTTCTCGAGCGTCTCGCGTGGTGTATACATCGGAGGCGCATCCTCAACAGGCACCGGACGGAGCGTTGCAGTAGCAATAGCAAGCGTCATCCATTTCTCCCAAGTCGCCTTTAGTTCCTGTGCCGCCCGTGCTGCTGGATGAGTAGCATCCCTCACTTCCCCATCGACCTGCTGTTCCTCCCGCTTGTCACCGACGAACGGCCACCCCGTTATTGGGACGAAGACGGGGAACACCATTGGGATCTGCGGAAGGGCGCCCCAAAGGACAGCAGGCATTTCGGGAAGATGCGGAAGAGGAAGCTGAGGTATGATGCCTTGAGGCTGCAGCTGTGCAAGCGTTCGTTGGATCATATCCACAAAAGACGCTGTCTGTTTCTCGTCCGTTGCATTAGGAGGTACCTTGGTATCTGTGTCTTTACTGGGTAATTCCAACATTTGTTCCGTGTGGGATTCAGGGCTTATTTGTTCCGTGGTATCTAGTGTGCGCCGACGGAAAGTACGCATTGATCGGCGTTTGACGATGACGAGTTCTGACTCGTCACTCTCCACATCACCCCACTGACTTTCACCGTCACCGGCACCGTCATCGTCATCTTGACTTTCTGTTTCGACACTGGGCGAGCGCCGTGGGGTGATATCATCAAAGAAGCCTTCAGGGGCAATATCCTCCGGTGTTTCCCCGAGTCCGTTCACGATCTCCAAGTCCGCTCCAGCCTCTACGAGTAATTCCAAACAAGGTTTGGATAGAGACAACACAGCAAAATGAAGAGCCGTATAACCATTCCTATCGCGCGCGTCCACATCGATATCATGCGCAATCAGGAATTTCGTGAGCTCCACGAAGCCCAAAAACGACGCGAGGTGCAAAAGTGTCTGCCCATTAGACGTAGAGTGCGAAACAGCGGTACTCATGGCGATAGTAGACTGGTTGTCAACGGATACATCTATCATGGAAAGGAACTTGACAATTGTGGTCTCGAAACTTTCTCCTTCGTCTGACCGGACGAAGAGCAGTGGTCGTATTTCGCGATAAGACGAGGATGCAACGACGTGCATCATGTCGTTGGCGTCTGAGGATGTCGGAGAGTCTTCGTTTCCTGCAGTTCCGATGATACGGCGGGCGACGTTCTTTGCGTCTTCGATTTTGCCTGTCATTTTGAGTCCGACGACCTGTAGGGCCAACTCCATCCTGGAAATGAAATACTTAAGCGAAAAAGGTAAAAGGTTATCGGTGTGACGTACAGGGCCCTGTCTGACTCGTCGGTGTATGTGAATAGAGAAGGGAGCGAGGGATCGTTTGTCTTCTCGAAGCCCTCGAACCAAACAGCGACAACACCAGGAGAAGCTCGAGGAGGTAGGACACAGACTAAAGTATTATCGCTCCAACGTTGAGTAGAACTTGCGGGGACGTCTCCAAAGACGCAGTTCAGTTGAAGAACATGGTGGAAATTCTCGCCAAGGATAGTAACTTCAATGCCGCCGTGCGTAGGACCAGAAGCGGGTATAAGACGGTGAATTTTTGGGAGAGCAAGTGGGGCAACAAGAGGTGATCTAGGGTCGAAGAAAAGGAAAGATGTCGGCTGTGAAACAAGTTGCGAGATGGGTGGTGATACAGGGGAAACGAGAGGCGATGATATGGTGCTTGATACTGGCGATATTACTGGATTTGCGACGAATAAATTAGCTTGTGCGTCTTCCGGCTGTTGGAACCCATTGACACCAAACATAGCTGCGGAAGGAACAGTGCCATTTTCAATTTGAGATAATGAGCAAGACGGCATGGGCACTAAAAGGTGAGAAGGTGTAGGAGACCGGGAACTAGGCACTGTTGAAGGTTGAGACGGTGTGAAGCTGGCCTCTCTCACGAATTTCACCGAGCTGTTTCGACTAGTAACGTCATATGGTTTTGCTCGCTTCTTTGGCTGGCCTTTCACGTTCGTTGCCTTGCGTTTCGAGGGTGCACGCTTATCCGCCAATTCCCCGCTCGGTGCGATCTGGGACCAGTCGACTTCGGTTTCAGTGAGGGGATTGAACGCAGAATTTGACTTGGTCGTCGACTTGTGGTCATCGGTAATCATAATCGGAGGAGTCGTTCCCGATCCGACGATGCGTCCAGTATGATCCATCATTGTGAAATGGATATGAAACCCGACCTTTTCCCGGTGGTGTCTGCAGTAGCACGTAATGCGGACGGGAAGTACGACCGACCCTGTTTCGAAGTCAAGGACTTCGGGGCAGTTGAACTGAATGATGCTAGTCGTGTCTTCCTTGCCTCTCAGTCGTTCATTACTATCCTCTGGGGTATCTGACCCAGACCTGGGGGGTCTGACACGAGCCGCGATTTTCCTAGCCACGCGCTTTGCCTAAATGGGAAAACAAAGTTAGTATGGAGCTTTGACCGTATAGAGGTACCGACCTCTCGGTTTCTACAGCTTCCGCAGCTTAGCACGCGATTGTGTGGTGATGTAGCGCACGTCACAGTCGTGGTAAGGTGTAACATATCCAAGGGAGAAGGGTCTGATTAATGATGAGTTTGTGCCAAGGACAGAGAAGTATTCTCAGTACCTATCTTCCCTTCCCGACGAGTGCGCTTCTTGGTGAAAGTCCCTGGTGAAAGTTTCAGCCATTTCCATGAACCAACCCTATCGTACAAGTACGGTTCCCCTGACGATGAGCTGGCATGGGCCAAGTCCAACGCGACGCGCACTTGAGTCTCTACGCGAGATTTTGTACCGTGTTGAGGAATATTAGGGGTCAGGATGGGAAGGCTTCACGAATTAAAATATGAATACTCGAATAAAAGATAGGCGCACTTGTAGCAAGATTCTCGTGGAGGAAAAACGACTCGATGCGGAGCGGTAGAAGGATCCCTTTTGGGTGGACGCACAGCAGGGGGAGGGATGACAGGTGAACAATGCATGTGCATATGAGAGGGAACAAGATGGTCGGACTCAGGTAAAGGAGCTTGCGCAGTAGAAACACAGCTGTCGCCTGTCGGGCGGATTGCATCCGGTTTCAAACAATGTGGCATGACTTGAAGCAGAACAGGGGAAGATTCTGGAGCAGAACAGGCCGAGCTAAACCGAGGTGTATGACACGTCAACGACAGCGATCGGACACGAGAACCTTTTCAAGACATACTCTTCATAGGCATGCTCATCTATCAGGTCGTTAAGCTGAAGCATCCTCTCGTTGTCAGGTTTGTTCATGACACTACGCATAGACTCATTGTCCAAAACGCCAATTTCGGAAAAGGTCTTCCTTGGACGAATTGAGTTATACCAGGCTGATAGGTTATGGTCATGATGTAAGGTAACAGGATGATGACTGTCGGAAGATTCAGGTGTTGTTGGTGACGAAGAGCGAGAGTTTATGGCTGTTGCGGTTGTCGTCGACATCACTGACGAGCGAAAAGCGTGTTCACGGAGCAGTCGCAGTGAGGCTGATAGAAAGGGATAGCGCGTATCTTTGAAACTGCAGTATGACCCCAACAACTCCGACAATCTGTCTGATTACATAATATTTCACTTTGAATTAATTCTGAAGGGCCTTGGGTCAGTCTGTTGAATGTTCGTGCTTTGTCCACCATGAAGAGAGGCGCAGAGAGACAAATCAGCAAAGACGACGGCGATGACATAGAGGTATGATAACAATTATTTATGTTGTCTTGACTGGTCATTGACGCGAGCAGGAAGTCGAAGACCCTGGCAAGGGTTTCCAAAAGGCAGACGAGTCTGTCCTCACAAAGCGGCAGTGAGTATCCAGTAACTGCAGTGAGCAACGCTTATTCTGTGACACCCAGAATACGTGGTTTACCCAAGCGAGCCACGGCTTCAACTAAGGCTTTGTCTTTCGCTGGACTCCCCAGTGCACCTCTTTCACCCGCGGATTCGGTGAGTACTTAGTCAATGCCTTGCAAATCTTTCCAATAAAAGCCCATTCAGGAACCACCTGCCGCTCCAAAATTTGGTGGTTTCTCAGGGTTTGGCTCAGGAGCTGGGCCGAGTCCTTTCTCATTCACCCCTCCAACCGCTACTGCATTTGCGACCTCAAACGTTGCACACACTGCGTCTGCTGCTACAAAGGACTTTGCATCGGTGGTACAAGCCACTAGTACTGCCAATGCATCCCCGAATCCTTCAGATGAAGATTACAACGCAGAACTGAAATATTACAAGTCTATTCGTGGTCTTAACATCTCCCTTTTGTCGGCTATCCAAAAAGCTGTGGACCAGGATCCTTTTATTGACATCGCAGGCCTTCTTGAGAGTTATAAAAATCTGCGGACTACCGTCCAGACAGATCTTGATAGCTCATCCAAAGCCGCTAACCAGAAGGTATCAGCTTCTGGCCCGCCTGTGCTCGAGAAGGCTGCACCTTCAGCAACTGGATTTCCCGTGCCAAAAGGCTTTTCTGGATTCGGTAGCTTTGTTTCCCCATCATTACCTTCTTCATCCACAAATGGAACGGATAAGAGCTCGACACCTAACAATGCCTTCGCCTTCTCCACATCAACTTCCAACACGAGCTCGACCCCAACTTTCGGTTTCGGTGCCAAAACGAGTGAAGATAATTCTGCAATACCATCTCCCTTTGGCACTTCGGAAGCCCCGAAATCGGCATTTTCATTCGGGACTAAATCCGCTGATTCCAACTCCTCAAGTCCGAGTTCGTTTTCATTCGCCCCACCAGCCACACCTGCACCTACACCTGCACCCAACAAAGACAAAGATGATTTAAAAGCCTCGTCGGCATTTGGCTCTAGTTCAAGCATTCCTAACTTCTTCGCGTCATCCAAAGCAGCATCATCCACGTTCTCCGACTCCAAGCCAACATCAGCATTCGGCACCACGACATTATTTGGTAACAGTACTGACTCAAAGACGTCCTCCTTCTTCACCCCAGGGTCCTCAGACCTATTCAACAAAGTATCCGCCAAAACTGGTACAGGAAATGAAGATGCCAAAACCGGAAGCACTGGTCTATTCGGCAGTTCCTCCTTCACACCACCTACAAACACTTTCGCATCTGCTGCCACCGACAAACCCACCAGTGCTTTCGGCACGTTTGGCGGAGGCTCGCCACCAAAAGGAAATGGTTTTACGTTTGGGAAGGCGGGGGGAGGGAGTATTGGCAATCCCGTAGGGTTTGGATTTGGTGTCGCGAAGCCTGCAGATGGGGCTTCTACGTCTTCATCGAGCGCCCCCACGGAATTCAGCTTTGGTGTTCCACCAACAAAGTCTGTCTCTCCGCCAATGGACACCGCCAGTCGATCAGGGTCACAACCTGTTGCCACCGATGAGGGCACAGACGATGCAAAGTTGCTGCCAACTAGCAATCACGATGGTGAAGGCGAGGGTGAAGAAGATGAAGAGACAACGTATACTGTGAAGGCCAAAGTCTTCAAGCTTTCAAAGACTTCTGACAAGTCTGAGTGGAAGGAACTGGGTATTGGTTAGTAATTCTTTGTTTTTTCATCATCCACAGTCTTGCTGACTTTTGATAGGTATGTTCCGTTTGAAGAAACATAAGGAGACAGGCGCACGACGCGCACTGATGCGCAACAGTGCCACGGGGAGGATTGTTATTGTTCGTTTTTATCATTTCGTATCAACTGCAGTTGCTTACCCACGTATCCCGTTAGAACTTCAGGTTGTTCGTGTCACTAACCCCAACACTGATGAAGACGATGGTATCCTTTGTCGGACATGATGAAGGTGCTCCGGCATCGTTCCGAATCCGTGTAAAAACACCTGAGCAAGCTCAGGAGCTCAAGAATGCTTTGGATCGCGAGGTCGCAGCTGTCAAAGAGTCGAATTGAGGGGTTTGTAATTCTATGTCTCTAATGTTGCCCATGTCTAATTTTACACACTCCCTCGTATACCTGTCTATACACTGCACATTTCCATATTCTTTACTCATCGCATCATCTAGCATAGTTGCATGCATTTCTGTGAAGGGTTCTTTCCGAGTTGTTGAAGACTCGGGCAGCTTTGCCCCCCTGCATCATAGATTGTACTTCAAACCACATCTTACACGTGTGCTGCGCCGTTGGAGTATGTATGAGATAGCTATTTAGCATTAAAATGACTTTGAGCGTTGTGCCATATGGAATTGAGCACAAAAGCTTCGCTGAGAAGCATTTCAATTTCGTGGTCTCCCCAGTCCTGCGTCGGGAGGGATTGCAGGAACATGATGATACCCTAGCACACGTAAGATATGCATTCCTAGGAAGACAAAGGTGGATGTACCTGAAAATCCATTTGCCGGAGCTTTTCGCTCCACTTGACGAGGAATGCAGAGCATACATAAAGGTGGAATTGAGAGAATGCATCCGCTCCTTCAGCCTGGGATCATACAATCAATAACAGACATCCTACGAAGGTGTGGCCAACTCACTAGATACGTGTCCCACATGCGGATCGTGTTCTTCACACTGATTTCTCGCATCAGAAGACAATTCATCCAGCGGAAAGCGAACTGCATGAATTCAACATTTTGGGACTCGAGGTGTGTATACAGGGGAGCTGCTCGATCATCAGCAGCCAATGTGCGCAGGTGGAAAAGAACTTACCATCAATACGTGCAACAAGTTCAGCCATGCGCTTGACACTTCGTTGAATGCCAGGTTGTGCTGAGATGTAGTTATCCTGAATGCCGTCCAACAAACGTGACAAGCACCAAAACGAGTCTGCCTCGACAGCACTCAGGACAGCCGTCGGGAGCAGAGAGGTATCAAATTCTTCCGGATCTGATTCTGCAAGTAGTCTTAACGTTACACGTAGCCATGAGATAATAATAGCATACCAATGTAAGCGGAGAGGAAAACCTGGAAGAATGGGGTAACGAGGTCATTGATGCCTTGAACGTATCCACTTGCTGGGTGTCGTATTGCCCAGACATAGAGAATTCTTTCGAGACTCTACTTGCGGCAGAGATATTAAGATCAAATAAAATAAAATCGCAACTACTTACACGTTGAGTGGATGCCTGCATCCATAAACGTACACCAGGTCTCGTCCGTGGTACGTCGATCTCGATCTGATGCCATATTTGTTGGTCGAGCCCTTGACGATCCCGAGCGAATGCTAGTTCGACCAGTGATGAGTATTCTCCTCTCTTTCGTGCAAGAGTGGAAGCTCGAAGGTTTGATGGCAAGGGAAGGTAGCCCTAAGCATCGACATTAGAAGGTAAGGAGATACAAGGAAGTCAGCTCACGAGAAGAATCGGCCATACAGCGGCTCTTAGATCGTTGGGAGTACCCGCCCAAGCTAATTTACGGAGTTCGCCTATTTGTGAAACCTCAGGTACACGGTCAGCGAAAGCCTACAAGAGCGCGCACTAATATTGACATCATCTTTGCTAAGACAATCGATGAATTTGATTCGTCGGTTTGTGCGAATTGAGCTCTCCCGAAGGAGCTTCTCAGCATCACTCGAACGTGGAGAATGACCCATCCTATGATTAAACCTTGGTTCTGGCTGTGGTTGAGGAGAACGGAGAAACCTGTGCAACGGATCTAAATGTCTGATTAGATGTGGAAAGGAACTTGATAGAAGTAAATACCGTTCATAATCTCGATAACATCAGATTTGATGGAACCTTGGTCTGGTTTAACTTTGATGCTAGTGCCAGCAGCCTGTTCCATTTCTGGCTCGAAATCCCCTACAACCATGTCACTGTCGACGTCTACATCGCCATTTGGATCAATATCTTTGGGTAACTTGACACATAAAGCATCCTGTGAAGTGCCAGATTTTCTAACCATTGTCCATCCACCCTTTGCAGGTTGAGTGGTATCGGCAGCATTCGAAGGGTAGGAACCTGGACTGGGCGCACTGAGATGAGTGTAGGAGAATGAGACATTGGATGAAGAAGAGTTGCTAGGTGGTCTAGGGACTGGTTTCGGTGCTGTTATCGGAGATGACTGGCGCCTATATGATGATGGGGAAGGAGGGAGCCGCCACGAGTTTGAGATTGTGGACTGGCGAGGTGATTCAGAGTCTGATCCACTATCCCAAACATCGTCTTCTCCCCAGTCTGCGTTAGATCTTGCATTGAATGATGAGTGCAGACCAATGTGCGGTCGTGCAGGCGGAGGCTTCGCCGCCATCGTTTCACGGCGAGCCAAGTTATTATCTGCCCATTCGTGGTTAAACGTTAAGTATTACATTAGATTAGGTAATCAACCCGCTATTAAATTCACCGCTGGGCCAGCCGCTCTTCTCTTTTGTATTCAAGTTGCAATGTCTTCAGAAGATAAGGATTTCAAGGGGCGGTGTATGTACTGCAACACCGACGTCGGTCGCGACAAAGTCAAGACATGCGGTCGCTGCCGGTAAGCAGAACTCGCGGAGGAGCCGCTCCTCACTGCCTACAATAAATATTATTAGCTAATCCTGGTTTTGCAGACTGGTACGTTATTGCTCCAAGGAATGTCAGATCGCGTCGTGGAAAACCCACAAATTACGATGCAACCCAAATCTACGCGAAAGCCTTGCAAGTGACCCAGCCAGTAACGCCCTAAATACGGCCCTTTCCAAGTGGATCAATAACTGGAGGGATGAATTGCATAACTGGGCGATATGGGCAATGGATCTCGCAAATAGTCCACCGGACCGACTGGCTACGCATTGGTCAGTTGATCATATGCGACCCCGTGCCAGCAGCTAAATGCAGTGCAACAGCTTTGTGATCGAAATTGAGCGTCGATCGAATCCCCCGAGCGCTTCCCATTTCTTCCGAGTGAGTACTCTCCGTCGGTATCCTCAGTACGTCTGAAATCCCACAGATGCATGGAGGAGGTGTCGAAACTCGAGCAAGTTTCATTGCACGCTTAGAAGAAATAAACGAGGCCAGTGAGGAGACCGTTGCATGTGTAAATGAGCGCCGGGGCACCGACACTGCTCAAATTATTATCCTCTGTGAGGATTTAATTCGATTCTTATGGTTCTCTCTCCGAGATGGTGGTGCATCTTTGCGGAACCGCGACCCTGCCATGTCCAAGGCACTTGCTGAGAACTGGCAACAAGGCATGATTAGCGCAATTGAGACTGGCCGTCGTGAGTGTAAGAGCCTTGCGCCTGATTAGTTCTAAATATTGTGCTCCAGCCCAAGCATCCAAGACTCATCTAGATAGAGCCGCAATCAAGGTCATAGGACCACCTCCCATATGAGTTGATTATACCACAGGCGGCCGCTTATGACGGGTGAGACGAGTAGTTCATTTCGAATACCACACTTCTACGGACATTCTCATACATTACATGGTGTATCATAACGATAGGCAAGGTCCACAGGATGATTTAGCAAAACAATCAAAGAGATTAATTACGCAGCAGCAGCAGCCCGCTTCAGGAAATCTTCCTCATCCCATCCGTAGTAATCTTTTAATTTCTTACCGAATTCCTTGATCTTCACAGGATACAGAGTGGGATCCGGGTGAGCTATAAAAAAACGAAGATAAGAAAGGGAGCTTAGTCGGCAAGGTTGTACATACGCTTGTGGAATGTAATAGACTGTGTAAGCAGCTCAGCATCATGGTCAAATTCCTGATATACTGGATAACATACCCTATCTCCCTCGTGAGGCGGATCGAATCGCACAGACGACCCAGCGGTACTGGGATCATATGAAAAGCCCATGTCACGCATAACCTGTGGACATGTGTGAACATTCCCGGAGTTGATACCAAAGGAAAAAACGAGGCACCTTGAGAAAGCTCTCCCACTTCATTGCTCCTCGTCTCTCGTCGTCTCCAGCACGAAGCAGCTGATGCATGTACCCAGTCGTCTTCTTACCCAGTTTCGAAAACCACGTGTGTTTGCTGTTCACATTATCCTTGCTTTCCTCTTTATCCTTGGCTTTGTCTTTGCCCTTGGCCAAAAACCCGCGGTTGAACATGGATGCATGATCTGGACGAGATTTGATCTTCTCCTTCTGAGGGACCTCCTGTAGGAAAGAATGACCAGAATGAGCCGTAGTTTGTTCTGTCAACGGCAATGAAGCAGTCGACATGTTGTTGAGAAGGGTTGTCGCCGAGCTATTCAAGCTAGCCCTCCTAACAGGGCTTGGCTTTGAGGGGCTAGAGGGGGGAGAGGCTACGCGCGCTGCAGGTGACACAGGAGACACGGGGGCATCTTCGGGGAGGACAGGCAGATCCGTGTCGGTCTTCTTCTTCTTTGGCTTCTTTTTCTTTTTCTTCTTGCTAGCAGAGGCAGTGTCAGCATCAGCGTCATCCTCATCGTCGACCTCTTCGACTGTCGTGCGAGTATCTTTAGGCTGCGCAGAAGAGGCTCCTGCATGGAAATAAATCAGGTCTGGATGTACGGGAAAAAATTGCCGGACACAAACCAGCAGCTTGTGGAGGCTTGGCCCCGAGGGCCCTGGGAACTCGTTTCTTCCGAGGAGTCGGAAGGGGTCGCAGTGGAGGTAGTTCATCGTCTGGAATACCGGACAAATCGATCTTGAGAGCCGGACCTGGCTTGGGCTTTGGAGCAGTAGTCTTGGGAGTGAAAATGCCCTTGCGAGGTTCATTGCGCTTCGCAGAACTGAGCTTCGCGCTTGATGAGAACATACGCCCTGTGTTCCACAACCAATGTAAGCGGATGATAACTATAAGAGCTATTAACTCGACCTCTTAATGAGCCAAGGAGCTTTAAGAACGGATTGCCCTTCTTCTCCTCAGCTATCGCTTCAAACTCGGGCACTTCTGTCTTCGCATCGAAAAATTCGGGGATGGCCATCGCAGTATCCATAGCCTCTCGCAACATATTGCGATATTGCTCATCTTCATCGGAATCATATTCAGATTCTGTCTCATACTCGTCACTGTCATCGTCTTCATCCCCAAAGTTCTGGTCAGAGTCGATCATATCGTCGCCGCTTGCGTCAGAGGAGTCGGAGACGGATTGGAGCTCGGGCATGGAGTCATCACTGCCGTCGTCTGCACGACCATCAGTAATGGTGAGCATCTTCTTCGATGGTCGCTTGTGTCCACCGCCTTTCTTTCCGCCCTTGTTCTTGAATGGGATCAAACTCAAATCACCCCCATCTTCTGAATCTGAATCGTGACCTGCAAGGTGGGGGACATAGAATGAACTCCATTGAGGTGTACGGCGGAGGGCTTCATCAAGCTGCCAAAGAGTATCTATGGACATGTTGGAAACATTTTGGTAATTCTAGAATTTGTAATGTCAGGGCAACAGGACTGATAAGAAAATTACTGCAGAACGTACCACGTCAACATGTTTCCACATGTCTTTGAGGACTGCCCGGTCTTCAGTGCGGTTGAGCGGGTAAACGAGGTCCTTGAAATTGGCGTAGCTATTTGATGCTTGCTGGGAAAATATCTGCGCATCAAGCCATTGCTCATACTGCTCGGGCATCTTGCGGGGTGTCTGCTTCATCTTCTCACCCTGCGCTCCCAATAAAGGACTATCAAGAAGCTCCTGGAGTTCTAATACGACCTACGGATACCGATGATCAGCGAAGGAGACCTATGGAAGACCTGCAGCTCTACAACATACAGATAACTCGCCGACGGCATCCCACATAGTCTGAGGAAAACGTTTTGCTTCTCTCGGAGACTCGTCAACTGCATCGTGCAGGATGTGGTATAAAATCCTCTTCGGATAGGGTTGTTTGGGGAAACATAGCTCAATGATGATGGAGTCTAAGAATGACTTGCATGCATCCTTGAGACCAGCCCAGTCAAAGGCCATCTCGGGTTCACCAGGATCGGTGTTCTCAACCGCCTTGAAGTAACGAGCATAATGGGCTGTCGCATAGTTAGAGCTTGTGATGCACAAAATTGACAAGATGTTGCCGTACGCGTAGTGGTAGCAAGTACAGAGAATTTCTTTTGACCAAGATCAACTAGGTTAGACACCAAATCACAAACGATAAGATAACGAGATAGTAAACCCTGATCCTTCTGCAGCTGGATGTGAGCCGTTGCGTCATTGAGGCCGGACTTCTCAAGCGTTCGCAAAGAATCGAGGACGACCTTCCATGCCGAAGCAACCATGTACGTATTGTGAATCCTACATAGCCGACATATGATTGAACCGGTTAAAAATGGAGCATCGGACAACGTACCTGATTGCGATGATGGACGCCACATAGGAGGGATCTGATCGTACCTCCCTACCGTTCTTTGTCGTACCATACGGTGTACGAGCATTGAGCTCCTCGGTGATCTTACGGTGGAAAGATTCCGGGTCTTGCAAATTGGTGATATCGTCCAAATATGCTAGACCACATGAGACAAAGGTATGACTTATGCATGTGATCGCGTACCATTGAACTGAGAATCTGCGATCTTGATACATTTTGCCAGTTTCAGAGGTGACATTACAGCAGTTCGTGCGTGCTCATTGACAAGGTCCTCTGCCATTGTACCTCGAATGAGCGGATCGCGTGGCAATCGGCAAGATGTACAACTTGCCTGCGAGCAAATCAAGTTTTTCCCTACCACTCATTTTACTTGAAAGCATAACCTCCCCAGTGCCTCTTGCTCCAAATTTACCATTTCGTAACACCAAGGCTCGAGAAGTGGTAGGTTTAAGACCATTTTCATCTCGTTTACCTCCGTGTTTTGAGACTTGAACATGTCGTGGCCCTACTGGCACGAGGTCTCTTGAGGTAGAAAGAACAGGAGGCACTTTCGCAGGTTTTTTCTTGGACGCCATGGACGATAGATGCTAAGGGCGCTCTACTAGATCGTGTGAATCTTTGCTTTGTCTTTGTTGACGGTAGCGTTGAAGTGGCTCTACTCGCTTTAACATAGTACAGTAACTACCAGCATGTATTCAAGCAATCGTCGGCGATAAACCATTTGATGATGATCTTCGGGGACGGTATTCTCTTGCTCACGGTCCGCAATTCTTGGTTCGCACGGATTTATTCGAGAAGCACAGCTAAAGCCACGAATAGATAAGTGATGGTGGCGATGGTGGCGGACGCCAATAGGACTTTGTCTATTCATCACTCTGTGCTTTTCACGTTCGTTTCATGACGACTATGTCACTCCAGCGCGATAATCGCCTCCAGGTGAGTACCTACCTGCCAAGTTGAAGTAATCATTGGCAAAACGATACTGCCTCTGGGCGGTCAACCCGGCCGGCAATTGCACCTCATCCGATATTTGACATGTGTGAATGCGGTACGTGCGCGCTACTAGGAAGAATGGACCTCGAACAGAACAGTGCAGCATATCAGGCCACCGCTTGTATGTCAATCACTCCGTGGACTCCCTGTGCAGTGTGCATCCCAAGATATCCACCAATACTATTTCGCCGCCTTTGACAACCGGTTTCCCATAGTCTGTCATTGAATTCGTTAGGCAAATACACTTTTGTTGAGTTTGAGCTCGTTCAACAAATATTCAAGTCCCTCCAAGTTGCACTTGACACTCTTAATTAATTTTCGTAATAACCCGTATAATACAATGAATTATTTTGCCGAGCCTCGTCTGAAGAAATGTTGAGTTTCCAACTTTAAATTTTGCTTATGTAATAACCGAACAATACACACTCTTGTAAAAATAGTCAATAATCGGAGATTGTTACCTATATGCAGTACGAGCGCGAAGTTGGTACGTAGCAGTGCCAGGTTGCGCCGTAACATCCCCCCAAGTGTATTTGTGTCCTCTATATAAAGTCTTCATCTTTGTATCACTAGAGCTTCCGACTTTCACCAACTTTCTTTCATTGCTTTTCGTTGAGGTTGAGCCGGTCTCCTCCTTGTGCACTATTGCACGTTTCCATTCGCTTCCTTTCGACACACCAATCCTTTTCTTTCAAGTCGATTCCGAGCAGCGCTCGTGATACACTCCGTTTCTTTGCTCATCTACTACCCCTTTGTTAACCACCAACCTCTTCAACCAATGGGAAAGCTCATCTGGCACGAGTTAAGTCGCTACATCTCCCTCACGGCCAGTGTTTGTACGTCGCATCCCTTTTTTTTTGGCGAAAATCATCTCACCTGATGTTAACAGATGCAGTATGGGCCAGTTTCTGGGGTTTCTTCTTCCGCAAGTTCTTTTGGGACTTCATCGGTGGCATCTTGCGCTCTCCCGGTGGTCTGCAGTAAGTGTCAGAAGACTTTGTTGTACTAATTTATATTCACGTTCTCTTGTAATAGACCGTCACCCAAATTTTCTCTGTTCATCAATGTTATTGTCAAGTACCCTATTGTGCAGATAGGCACCATGGCCCTCGGGTTTATTATAATCGCGCTGGAATATCCTATCCCCATCCTCAAGGGAACTGCTATATTTAGGAGCATCGCTCTTAGAGTGGTGTTACTGATCATGCAAGCCGCCGGAACGGTTTTATTTTACCAAGTGAGTCTCCATACGTCTTGTACTGCCGGTTTTCTCATACAACACAATAGGGTACAAATGCGGCACTATGGTCATTAATTGCTGCAATGTTCTACATTCGTGCATTGACATTGAGAGAGAGAATGGAGGAAGCAATCAAACACAAAGGCCGAGTGGGTCAGGCATAACGAGTACGTTTACACGCAGTGCGGCTATTTCCAGACCTTTTCAACGGTATCGTATGCTGTCAGTCTGTGACTACGGTATTGTTACCAATTTCCCTTTTCGATATCTTTTGCTCCCTGTTTGTACATTTACACTGTATCAGATATCATCATTGCGAAACATGGACACACGTGAACCTACGTGTTTCATCAATTATGTAAATCGATGGTGGTCGTGAACAGTTACATATGTCAAGGATGCCGGTTTGGAAACCACCGAGCAGAGCGGCGAGAGGCGGAGCGCGGACATTATGCAATGTGCATTAAGCCTAGTAGTAACAATAAGTATCGGCATTGCATACTGCAATCTGACTGCAAAGTCGCAGTGGGACACATCAGTATTGCTTATTCTCTTCGTCTGGCTGTTGACAGGTCTGTGGCTGCAACTGTTCCTTTCCGATGCACTCTATCTCTATGTACATTGCATTTCCTCTGTGTACAGTGCCTGTGTTCTAAGAATGATGGTCACGATACCTGAGCTTAAGCTTGATCTGTCGTGATGGTCCAATTGTTACAAACAAGTTTGACACGGCCTCCATATTTTGCTTGTTTACTTGGTAAGTACTAGCCTTATTACTACAGGAGGCTCGATTTGTGCTCACACGCCGACGACCAAATATTGACATGCAGTTCAGTCATGAATGCCTCTGATATCATATCCGCGTTACCCAGCCAGTTTGAAGCTGCGCAATCTTCAGGGGATCTGTTTTTCTTCCCGTCAGAAGTGAGCAAGCACGAGGAACTTGGGACAGAGGTGTGTTTCCGTCTGCTCTCATCGTAATTCATACGAGCGATCAATCCACAGTGGGAGATCCGCATATGTACGGCGCTTCAAAAGAAACCAGCCGTGTCCCCACCTGCTGGGGAAGCAGGAATCACACCATCTGATCGGTCGGATGAGACTGTCAAGAAATATGATCCGTTTGCACCTCCATACGTCCCGAATCTTCATGTTGGTGATTTACGCGACGAATCGTCCGGGACGGAATATGGTGTACTGGTACGCTCAGATTTCTCCATACGAGCATCCGAGTCAGCTCAAATGTATTCAGTTAAACAAGTACTCGGTCGTTCCCCATCATTTCCTTCTTGTAACCAAAGGTTCCCTACCAGCTACCTAAACTCCATGATCACGCACTGATGCATATGATCGACAGAATTCATGCCGCAAAATTCACCCCTGCTGCCTCATGATCTAGTCCAAACTTATCTGTTGCTCCTTGCCGCCCGCAAAGCACGTAAAAACTATTTCGCTTTCTACAATTGTGAGGATCTCTCGTCTGATGGCAAACTTTACTGAGCATTCATCAAAGGCGGATCAAACAGTGGAGCTAGCCAAAGTCATAAACATATCCAGTTCATCGAAGTCGAGGATGATGGACCTCCGATCGAAATATTAGCCAGAGCTGCGAACCTTGAAGTTTCAGGTACTTGATGCTGTTGCTCTCCTAGATATCTATGATCGAACCAAGCTCACCCTCAGGCAAACCGTTTTCGCTGTCATCGGTGGGATACGCTAATCATGTATATCGGCTTCCGACTCTGTCGAATAGCGCGTCACCGGAGCAGCTCGAACAAGCGTTGTTCCTTCCATTCCTGTCCCTCTTGGATCTTGTGATTTCGACTGTACGACATTCCCCGGACTACCCGTCTGGTACCCCCTCCTATAATGTGATCCTAACCCTGGAACACATGCACTTAATTCCGCGACGCTGGGAAACCTATACCCTAGGAGAGTTGGGAGCGACGTTGAGCGTCAACTCACTTGGGTTTGCTGGCATGCTGATGGTAAAGAGCGATACCGAACGCCAGGCATTAGAACAAGAGAAGATCGAAACGGTACTCAGAGCTGTCGGTGTGGAAAGCGTTCACGAGTTGCAGGTTGCAGGTACATCGATGGAAGCAATGGATGAGACAAGTGCTTGATAGCGACATTCGCGATCGTAGAGACTGTATACACACGTACAAGGCCACATACTCAAAGGATAGCAAGAAATGGGTAGCGTTCAAGAGCATCAGGCATTATTGACCAAGTAAACCCTTCACTCTCCACATGGTGTCCAAGGAAGCAAGCTGAAAGATCTGATTAGCAACGCCATCTGAGGTTATGTTTTCGTTCATTTGACGACTTTGAGAGCGCTTACCAGTTGGACAAAACCTTCCTCTCTGATGACTTGGGCTACGATGGATTCTAGCTCTGCATGGGATAGCTTGTGGAGGGCCGGAGTGTCGTGCAGTGATGCAACAAGCTGGGTCCGAGTTGAATTGTGACTTTCTAATGATCGGTTTTCCGACTGAAGAGATCGTGTGACGCTCGGTGGCAGTGGAGGCGGTGGCATCGTGTTTGAACTAGTACTGCGAGTAGACGAGGATGGCTGGGAAGAATCAGGTAAAGAGCCTTTGGTGGAGCTGATAGAGCCAGACGGTGCTTGGCATTGGCTAGACTGTGGGATGGTCATCCGAGGTGTTTCTGGAGGTGCCATGAAGGTACTGTCATGAGAGGGTGCAGCCACGGATGTCGTTTTCGTAGAACTACTGCTCAGAGACACAGGTGTAAACCTAATCGGCGTCGATGGTGCGAAGGTTGGTACATTGGATTTGGATGATGGATTTCCTGAAGGAAGTGCAGCCGACACTGGTCTGAGGGGAGTTTCGCCCATTGATGGCCGAGCTTGTGAAACAGACGGGAATATAGTACCTCGGCGGGAAATGTCGTCAAGAAGGCCTGTCGTGGCTACAGTAGGGATGCGAGGGACCGGAGGCTGCGGCTGTGGATTCAATCTACAAGGACAAACAGGTCGTACAGCATCGATGAACTGAGCCGCGCTCGTTGCAGTGGTAAATGTGATCTGAATGCGGCGATATACCTAAAAGAAATAACTTGGTAAAAAGTTTTGAGCAAACGGCATATATGTACTGGCTGGGAGGTCGAGTCTGCTGTTTTCGAGTGCAGATACCGAATTCCGACAACAGCATCCCGATAGACAGCTCTGAGAGGAAGGCCATGGTCGGGTTGCCCAGAATTTGTCCTCGAGTTTGAGATCGATGAGAAGGAGAGTAAATCAAGATCCTCCTGGAGGGTTAACGTTAAGCTTTTTGGTGCGATTCGTTATCCCACAGTAAGAGCCTACGAGGATAATCTCTCTCTGATCGACGCCCAAGCTATTAGTGTTGCTGTCGAAATTCCATACAACTCGAAAGCGGACAGAGACAAGATCTCCTGCGGAAGATTTCTTCGCGTCCAGATAGAGGTTAATAACGGGGTGAACGAAATGTTGCCATTCTGCATCTGTTGCAGGGTTCTGAGAGTTCAACGACGAGCTCGTAGGATATGAACGCGAGTATTTTGCTAGCGGATAAGAAACAGATGTTGTCGTGAATTGAGCCATTTCCTGGGGTGCAGAAAGTTCTATCATGGTTTTTGGCAGCGGACGTGTTGCCGCCGGTGTTTTTTCAAAGTCCGCGCGATATCAATCATGCAGGAGCGGTACTAGGTGAGCACTGAGCACAACAGACAAGAACCACTCAACAATCCACCGTGAAGCATCCAGCACCGAGCTCTGAGATCTGAGCATCGAGCGTTTGCGTTGATATAGTCAGTCTCCGTATGATCAGTTCTAAAATGTTGTTTTTGATGAAAATGTGAACCCTAAATATTTTTTTGATTTGGCCCGGTTAAACCCCCAAATTGACCAAACCTTCCGTGACTCTCGGGCACCATATGAGTACGTTTTATTTCCCTATCTCATCTGGCGACCTTCGGCATCAATGACGGAACTTAAAAATATTAATTAGAGGTCAGCATCATAAAGCGCGACTTTTTCAGTTTCGCTCTAGAGTCTATACTACTTTCAGCCTCATCGTGGGCGTCTCTGGTCGCTGGTGTCTACTTGTAACTATCTGCAACCCTCTCGACGGTCTTCACATGTGTTGGGATTGCGACGACTATTATGGCTCGGGCACGGACCCCGATTTAACAGACCTGGACACAGACTTAGACAGTAGCAGTCAATGTAGCGAATATAGCAGCTTGAGCGAGGCGCCCGGTGAAGAAGTTGTAGGTGACTATGGCGGAGAGACATATAGTAATCACTTTTTATCCGCACGAAATTGCTCACCGACTTTTGCTTCAAAGTTCCAGATAAACAACCCGTAGCAAAGCGAGTCAGGACGGACAAAGGAACCGATATAGGAACAGCATTAGCAGTAAAACGTTCCGGCAGAAGAAAGAAAACTCTTAGTCTCATCGTTACTGTGCCAATCGATATTCTTCTCGAGGTAAGTCAACGAGCATTGCGCATGCATCTTATTTGTCTGACCTCCGCTTCAATATAGATTTGTAGCTTCTTGGAACCGGTGGACCTCTTACATCTGTTCCATGCCCATAAAGCTTTCCATAAGGTTCTATCGTCTAACCACGCAGCCTCAGTCTGGAAAGCTGCTCGGGTCAATCGTGGCGGTGTTCCTGACTGCATGCCTGGCATGTCTGAGGCGGAATGGGCTGACCTACTATTTGGTGGTACTGACTGTCACGTTTGTCTGGTCTCTGTTTACTTCTTTTATACTTTCGTGACCACAAGCTCAGGAATGTGGCAGGAAGAGAGTGTGGGATATAGACTTCGGTATCAGGCGCAGAGTATGTCAACCATGCCTCAATGAGAAGTGAGTACTATTTTATATTATCACGTCCTTATCTGGCCAACGATCCGTCAAGCCTAGTCTGCAAATCGGCCTTTCCATTCGAGTTTTCTGAATACGATCCGATCATTCTTGATTTGATCCCATTTAGTAGCAGTGGGTGTTGTCTTACTATGACTTATCTGTATCTGATCTTTCTGCGCAGTCGGTGTTGAGGATCATGACCATGATTATATTGCTGATTCGGCCTGCAAGTTTTTTTGGTCAGATGACATAGAGAAAATGGCAAAAGAGTTGGAGGTGTATCTCAAACCAGGTGCCGAACAAGCATTAGAAGACTTCAAGCAGTCGCGCAAGAAATATGTTGATTCCGATTCCAATGTAAGATTCCTACCAGTCGTTTTACCAAATCTAACAGTTTGAAGCATATAGAAGTCTGTGACGCTTGGGTCGCCAATGATTGTGCACAACAATCGCTCTATGCCCGTGAGCTTCGTAGCCAAAATACAAAGCTGTGAGTAAATTCTATCGACTCGTCATCTAATCACGTCTTGATCCTATATCCTAGGTTTCAAGCTAGACTGGTCGATCTCGGCCACGATGCTAAGGATGTGGAGCGCATGTTCGATAATCATCACTATGGCGTACTAGATAAGGAGTTTACCGACGCACGTCAGTGCTCTACCATATTTGAAAAGATTTGTCCTTACGTTGTCGATTTTCAGGCTGGAAGCGTTTGATTCCAAAAGTTGAGCACAAGCTTGCTCAATTGCAGGAAGAATGGCGCCTCGAGAAGCAAACAGAAGTGTCATGTATCCGGGAGTCCAAACTGTTGACTATGTACCACAAATACGTGCGGCCGTTGCCACAGGGCATCGTACCTCCTCCCCATGATTTCCTGAAGCTATGCGACATTGCGGAATTTATCAAAAGCCCACCCACTGCGGACACAAAAAGCGATGTTCAACCTTGTGATGCTTTCGCCGAAAAAATTCCCGATTTTTGTGCCGACTATATGCATAAAAAGAAGCTTGAGCTGACGCGACTGCTTGCTCTCCCCACTGATGCAGTGCAAGATACCACGACACTACAAAGCCAAGGAATCGACGCCCCTGATGATACGTTAATGCAGCTAGCAACCTCTGTTTTCCAATGCACTTACCCGCGGTCATTCCCATTGATTACATGGGACAAAGTACAGTATCACCAAGGGTCTTCTTCTCACAGTCAACGCATGGCCCCCCAATCCAGTTACGCACTGATGATGTCGATATCACCTTGCAAATTTTTGATCTCTCAACGTGGGGTGGCTGCTGCACGTTCTTTGTTAAGCTTGGTCGGTCTCGATGCCAAAACAACGACAGCAACCACAATGGATGACCTCCAGTGTCGTTTTTTCTGCTCCAACTGTTCCCCCAAGCCAGAGAATGGAGGATCCTATCGGATGGCGATGAACTGGCGTCAGGGCGTTCGTCCTGTGTTTGTTATTTTTATGCCGTGCTTACCGTCTTCTAGGTCTTCCATTATGTCGAGAATCAAAATCCATCGCATAAAGAACCTCGTTGGAAATTATTGAGTATTGGACAACTTTATGTCATTCAAAATTCCCCTGCGCCCGAATATCCCGCAGCTACTGAGGAAGTGTGGCGTTGTAATAAATGCAATGTATACCACGGAGGCCCAACTACAAAGGCTATCGTGATTAAGCATATGAAATCGTAAGTCGTCACCTTTTCTGTCTCACTTTACCTTTTTTGACGTGTAGTAGGCATGGAATCATCACTCCAACTGAAGGAATCGACTTTAGCTATGACCAGGGTCTCATCGAGAAACCACCTCCAGCACCGAAGTTCTTCGTTACCCCTCAGACCAGGAAGCCCTCCAAACCACGCACGACTCAAAAATCTAAATCTTCTACTGGGTCGGTATATCGCTGCCAACATTGCAATGGCTCAGATCGGACTTTCGTATTGGAAGGCGTCAAGGAGCACATCAAAGTCAAGTAAATAAGCATTTGTCAATGGCCCAGATCCACTACTTAATGATTTTTCCTTCAGACACGACATCAAGTCTTCACATGAAGGGCCAGATTTTTGTAAAATCAAGTAATTCCATCGTACTTTAATTTTTCATAGCCCTTCAAAGCTTCATCTTTCGCTCTCTATATATGACCTTCAACACATATTTGCAGTAGTTATGTACATCGTCTGCATCTCTACTAGCCTGCCAGAGTAATACAAACTATTATCGTTATTAAGATGCCCAGATGGCAATGAATGCGATGACGTGGATGCAACAGCCTAAGGAGCAGTTGGTGAAAATCCAGCACCAGTCATTGTGAAAAGCGAGTCCGAACGCCAGCAAGATCGATCGATCGAACGGTACTCAGGGGTGTCAGTGTGGAAAGCGTCCATGAATTGCAGGTTGCTGGTACATCGATGGAAGCAATGGATGAGACAAGTGTTTGATAGTAACATCCGCGATCGTAGAGATTTTATACACGTACAAGGCCACATTTCGCAAAGTTTCTACTCAAAGGATAGCAAGAAATGGGTAGCGTTCAAGAGCATCGGGCATTATTGACCAAGTAAACCCTTCACTCTCCACATGGTGTCCAAGGAAGCAAGCTGGAAGATCCGATTAGCAGCCCCATCTGAGGTTATGCTTTCTTTCATCCGACGACTTTAAGAGCGCTTACCAGTTGGACAAAACCTTCCTCTCTGATGACTTGTGCTACGATGGATTCTAGCTCTGCATGGGATAGCTTGTGAAGGGCCGGAGTGTCGTGCAGTGATGCAACAAGCTGGGTCCGAGTTGGATTGCGACCTTCCAATGGTTGGCTTTCCGATTGAAGAGATCGTGTGACGCTCGAAGGCAGTGGAGGTGATGGCATCGTGTTTGAACTAGTACTACGAGTAGACGAGGATGGCTGAGAAGAATCAGGCAAAGAGCCTTTGGTAGAGCTGATGGAGCCAGGCGGTGCTTGACATTGGCTAGACTTTGGGATGGTCATCCGAGGTGTTTCTGGAGGTGTAACGAAGGTACTGTCATGAGAGGGTGCAGCCACGAATGTCGTCTGCTCAGAGCCACAGGTCTAAACCTAATCAGCGTCGATGGTGCGAATGTCGGTACATTGGATTCGGATGATGGATTTCCTGAAAGGAGTGCAGTCGACACTGGTCTGAGGGGAGTTTCGCCCATTGGTGGCCGAGCTTGTGAAACAGACGGGAGTAGAGTACCTCGGCGGGAAATGTCGTCAAGAAGGCCTGTCGTAGCTACAGTAGGGATGCGAGGGACCGGAGGCTGCGGCTGTAGATTCAATCTACAAGGACAAACAGGTCGTACAGCATCAATAAACCGAGCCGTGCTCGTTGCAGTGGTAAATGTGATCTGAATGCGGCGATATACCTAAAAGAACTAACAAAAGTTTTGAGCAAATGGCATATATAGTATGTACTGGCTGGGAGGTCGAGTCTGCTGTTCTTGAGTGCAAATATCGAATTCCAACAACAGCATCCCGATAAACAGCTCTGAGAGGAAGGCCGTGGTCGGGTTGCCCAGAATTTGTCCTCGAGTTTGAGATCGATGAGAAGGAGAGTAAATCAAGATCCTCCTGGAGGGTTAACGTTAAGCTTTTTAGTGCGATTCGTTATCCCACAGTAAGAACCTACGAGGATAATCTCTCTCTGATCGACGCCCAAGCTATTAGCGTTGCTGTCGAAATTCCACACAACTCGAAAGCGGGCAGAGACAAGATCTCCTGCGGAAGATTTCTTCGCGTCCAGATAGAGGTTAATAACGGGGTGAACGAAATGTTGCCATTCTGCATCTATTGCAGGGTTCTGAGAGTTCGACGACGAGCTCGTAGGATATGAACGCGAGTATTTTTCTAGCGAATAAGTAACACATATCTTGTTGTGAATTGAGCCATTTCTTGGGGTGCAGACATGGTTTTTGGCAGTGGATCGTGTTGCCGCCGGTGTTTTTTCAAAGTCCACGCGATATCGATCACGCAGACAGTAGGTGAGCACAACAGTACTTACTTATCATAGACGAGAACAAGAGGTGGGTAAAATAAGAGTTCATGACATATACCTGATGTAACTTCGGACGGGTCCCCCCCCACCGTGACAGCGTTACAGTCACCGTAATTTAGCCATATATAGTAACTATTTCGATCACAAATGAGAGGTCTGGGAGCAACAACATCGATTGAAAGCGAGTGATACACAAGCACACAGTGATAACTACGATGCAGAAAGACAACTAAACAACCGACGAACTAAGCTGGAGGAATGTACACGCTCGTTTGGAGGCCCGGGGGAGAGACCCAGCGGACTCGAGGGCAGGACGTTTAGGACGAGATCCTGATGCTACAGGTACGTTCTCCTTGTCCTGCTCAGACAAATCTCCATACAAGGGCTGCCAGCGATCCTCCGGGATGTGCGAAGTGCCCTGTTCAAGATCCGTAAGCTTCATCGTCTTCCACATGCTTACTGGCAATGGAACTCCGGCCTCTCTATGTCCTGGGACAGCGTACTCCTCGTGCTGGTCCAGGATATGCGCTGTCATGTTGTAGCGCCATATGGCTTCAACAGGGAGTACGGGAACCTTTCGTGTGGTCTTTCCGGGCTGGGGAGGTAGTACAGGGTGACAGAGCACACATTTAAGGGGTAAGTTGCGACAGGGCTTGTTCTTTGATCCTGAATCGATGGACCCATACCTGAATGCGTGCTGGTATATACGTCTTGTTTCCCAGGTGGGTGCCCCGGTGCTTGGTACCGTGATTCTGATAGTGCACTCAGGCACTCCAGAACAACCGCAGAAGCCACACGGGCTTGTAAGACCAACCTGGTTGCGATAAGTTAGTAAAGTAAGATACTTGATTGAGAAAAAAACCGACCTCTTGCTTTAAAGGCGGCTCCTCGGGAGTGTTGGTCGATGCGCGTAAGATATGGCGTCCTATATGATCGCGCATGTCGATGACCTTCGCGTCGCAAAGCGGACATGTCGTGATGCGCTCTCCTTCAGATGCTGTGAGTTGGCTGCTGGCCTTGACAGAAAGGACAACAGGAGTTCCTGGAATACAACAATTTTTTTAGACAGAATGCACGGTGAGAGAAACAAGACACTTACCGTCTGGAAATTGATAAGGGAACGATTTGATGTCAACTGGAGTGACAGATGCAATCGACTTAACCGACACCTTCAGTTCAACTGCTTTTTTTTTTTTTGTTTTTTTTTGATTCCATTTTTGTCCTTTGCAGAGTAGTACTCTATGTAGGACAATTCAATCTAGTCTACGGGACCCCCAGTGTCCCAGTCGCATCTCCGAACACGCAAATGCCCTGGTGTGAAGCGTACTCCCACCAGTCTGCCGTTCCCGCCGGCCGTTTTAGGTGCGCTGTTCGGTAATGAGATGACTTTAGGTGTCTAACTGAATGTGGGTTGGGCTATCGTTTGACATTATGACACGTACTCGGCCGCATGGAGCGGACAGGTACAGGATTTCGTGGTGCAAAACATGTAGTGGTGGATGGGTGGGCCTTGGGGGCAGAAGGCGTATCCGGGTACTTGTTTGTCGTGCGCCAGGTTGGGCGCGGTGAATCCGTGTAGGCGAGTGAGAATTTGGTGTACAGATATGTACAGGAGTGTGAGGTAGTACATATGGGCGTGTTGGTACAGGTGGGGGGGGTTCTTTCTCGCGGTATTGACATGAGCATTCATCTGCATGACAGTCGGGCTGCATTAATCTGGAGGTTTGCGGGGCAAAGGTACATTACCGAAGGTTTTGTGCAGCCGTTTTGTGGAGTTGACGAATTGGACAAGATGCAGGGTTGCAGCGGGGTCAGAGAGGAGGTATGAAAGGGACATGGCGTCACGTCCTAGTGCTAGGAGTAGGGCATGACGCTCTCTACGATAGTGTGGACAATCAAGGATGAAGTGCGGTGCCATCTCGTCGACGTTTGGGCAGTGTGGGCAGTGGGGTGAAGGGGATTTGCCTATGCGATGCAGGTAGCGGTGGAGTGGGATATGCTGAGTGCGTAGGGCGATGTAGAGGCTGGTGAGACGCTTAGGGAATTCTGCAGTTAGTTTCACAAAGGAGCGATGTAATAACTTAGGGTCGATACGATGAATGCGATTGAATCTTGGTGACTTGCGCCACATGCGCTCCCAACGTGTGGCTGTGGTCTTATGGTGGGCCTGCAGTAATGCGGATATTCAACTGCTTTTGCCCACAGTATATCGCATGCTGCTTGGAGTGCGTCACGAGAGACTTGCCAGGTACTCTGGCCACCGCTGACTTGTGAAAACACGTCTGTATTAATATCGTCGTGTAGACGAATGAATGTCGTCTCAGGGTTAACCGGCTCAATAAGGGTGCCAGGAACGGTCACAATGACAACGTGTTCCGTCGAGTTAGAGGTCCCTGGAATCAGTGAGCGAGCAGTAACATATCCACCGTCCCATAAGCAGTACTGCGCAACGTCAGATGAGGTGGAATGAGTCAGGATAATAGTAAGGAGTTGTCCGGTGATCTTTGCAGTAGTACGCAAGGCTTTCATGACGGTGATGTTAATAGATGCACGAGACACACCGTTCAGTGTCACTGCTGTTGAACGAAGGACTCCAATAGAAAGTGTGCGACTGCTGTGAAGGATAGTGAGGAAGATATCCCCGATGAGGAATAGGTTATGGTCGGTGATTCGCCCGGCAGACATGTTGACCCGTTTGTTGACTTTTGTGAAGCCTCCGCGAACACGTTCTAGTCGATTGAGCGACTTCAAAACGAAGTCCTTGTTGATCACTAATCGGCAGATGGTCTGTTTATGGATCCAACGTCCATTATACAGCAGGTAGTCATCCGGACGAATACCGGGCCCTTGAGGTAATGGAGGGGATGTCGGATTCATTGGGAACTTGCTAGAAGGTTGAGTAGAAGGAGCGGCATCAACTGACTCATCGATTAGAGCCTCCTGGAAATTCAACATGAGCTCCTCCTCCTCCTTGTCCTCCTCCAACTCTGCATTAGCGTTGCGAACCTCATCTCCAACCTCACGTGACAGCACCGTTTCCAGGCATTGCAAAGGGGGGACGACTGCAGCAGGAAGAGGGAGCTCGGGTACATCACTGGTATCCTGAAGCTCATCCAGAGAAATCCCTAAGTACTTGTTATCTCCAAACGGACGCAGCATATCAATGCCGGGCATGCTAAAGTGTTCTGAAAACGAGTAATGGACAGAGTCAAGCTGGGAGGTCGCTAGGATGGAAAGGGCAGCGTCACGACCATTGCGCCATGCCAAGGGTAGATCGCATCGACCAGAGATGATGTCGCCCTTCCAAACCTCACGATTGATATGATCAACGCCTTCTTGACGTGTCAATTTGAGGCGCCGGTGGCCTGGATCGAGTTTTGGATGACGCCTGAAGACACCGTCGATATCCTTCGCAGCGCCTAAATGATCGAGAGCCTGAGTGTTACGGACTAGGATAGTTCGAGCTCTCCCTAGGCGGATTGCCTAATCTGATAGCGGGCTCGCTATTGGAGAGACGGGGATCTTCTCTCGAATGAGAGGTTCGGGGGTTCCACTTAAGGTAGCATCGGCTTTCCTTAAGGTGCGGCTTTAGACTGAAGGACTGGGACTGTCTTTCAGAGAAAGTTCTGGATAAAACCTAGTAGAATCAAGTAGGGAATATACATGATTCTGTCTGCTCTATATACTGTCGTCCGTGTGCACAGACCAATACTACGTTCGGTAGGTAGGTATGAGTGTGTCTATACAAGGGCATCTTATCTGATGCCATGCGGGCGATTATCTGTACATGAGGCGTTGCACGCCTCTTCTATCAGTCCTCAAGGCTAAACATGCCTTGTAGTTTAACTGCGCATGCTGCGGCATGCGGCTTCTCTTCTGACCATGAAGCAGAGCTTCTCCATGATCCGGGTCGAGGACCATCTAGGTCCGTTCCTGATGTGCCTAGGCTGGTCTGAGTCATCTAACGGCATCCAGGCCGTTCTAGGTGTCTCTACGAGTCTCCGTTGAGTCGGTAAGTCTTCCAAGACGGTGCATATGGTGGGATAGGGGCTAAGGTCATGATGACCTCCGTAGGAGGGGTTCTCGGTTACATGTTATTGTAACACTGAGCATATGAAGACGCAGAGTTATGGCCCCCAATCATGCGTGTGCGCCCGAAAAGTATCTCGAGGGGATCGTCCCCGACATCGCCAAGGAAAAAGGGAGCATGTGGATTCAGATCTTGTTGCTTGGCGATGCAGAACATGGAGTTCTTTGTCATGGTTTGAGTGTCATAATACAGTTGATATGACATGAAAGAGTGTTGATGGGCATGAAAAAAAGCAAAAGCAAGATGGGAATAACGACTGAGCAACGTGACTTGTTCGGACAGCGAGAGAGAGACGTCGGTGAAAGGTAAAATGATGGACTCGAGCAGAGCACTAAGGAGAGCGATGGATTGGAGGTCCGCGCGAGCCTCAATGTCAGTAGAAAACGAGTCGTCCATGATTGTGTGCTGAAGTTTCAAAAACTCAATGATTGCAAGAATTAATTTGACTGCACGAGGGACATCTTGAGGGTCATCTGGATGGAGTAGTTTGGTGACAGCGGCTTCGTCGAAGGCAGGTAACCATACGAGGTACCGTGCAAGCATCATTGAATTTATGATGCGACCGTTATTGAGCACGACACCTGCGGATGACCGAAGAAGCGCACAGATACCTAGATTAAGATTAGTCGGATGAACATTTACAATAGCAAAAAAAACTCACATTTGAATATATGCTTGAAGTCAAAATCAAGTGTCACCTCGTTGTCGCCTGTGAACAGATTCAATCCTGGCATGTTGATGAGAGTACCGAACAAGGGTGAGTCTTGGGGTAAGGGAATCTTGAGGAAAAGCTTATGACCGGCAGCACGTCAAGTAGCATCACCGTCAGTCGCAAGTGACCAGACTGGTCCAACCTGTGCTGCTGCACCGGTCGCATTCCATCGAGCAATTGCTCGGGAAAGGTTCTGCTCTGTGTCATAAGCGTTCTTGGTTTTGCAAGTGGGAGCTGCTAATATGGGGAAGATTTTGTCCCGGCCGAAACACGATGCTCCAATGACCGTAAGTTCCTTGCCTAGATGGACCTCCCCGTCGTGAATCTTCTGTGCAATGTTCACAGCAGATTCGTACGTCCGAAGAACTGGATCAACGAGGTGTGAGTGTTTCCAACATAGACCGCCGACCTTGTTGTACTTGCTGAAATGGATAGCCATTTCTTCCAGAGCGATTTCATCTATCATGAGACTGACACCGCATAAAGATGCAGAGCTGGTGAGGGTGCTAAGAACTACAGCATGTATATTTTGATTGAAGTGTTCATTATGTATGGGGCCAATAGTAGGAGTGAGCACTGTGAAGATGGATTGGGTGCGTAGAGTGCGGAGGGATGGAATATTGAGTTTCTGGTTTAGTGCAAAGAGAAGCTGATGGCCACCGAGTCGATACACGAGCATAGCGATATCCAGGTCGCTCGCATCATAGCCTTGAGGGTGATACACTCCCTCGAGGGCGTCCTCAAGCTTGTTGACAACTACACGAATACTTGCACCATTACATAGAGCAACATTGATGATCTGTTGGAGGCGAGGGATGTCTCGTTCGGATATAGCCATGAGAAGTCGATTGTAGTCGTCGAGTTGCGTCAGCGCACTCATATACTTGCGTGAATCGTTTAGCTGCTAATTAAAGTCAGTATATACATCAAAAAAAATGAAGTAGACATACCTGCAGCTTCAATTGTTTGATCTGTTCTGCGTAAGTCCTTGTGATGTCCTGCACATGCGCAAGACCTAAAAACTTGTAATTAGTGTGCGCTCTGGGAGTGCGCACAATGTCTGCCAGATGTTCGACATGAAGGGAGATCTCAGCGCATTCATGACAAGGAGAACCAGATGATAAGCAGTGTTTTGATTGGAGGCGAAGAGCGCTGGGATTTCGAGTGTCTATGAAGAAAGGTAGGGCGTCTGGACCGTCATGATAGTGTTCCCAAGGAAAGAGCATAATGAAAGGGCGGAGGTCCTCTGGCCAGACGACGGGAACTCCAGTGCAAATACTATTAAAAACAGGTGCAGGTGAGAGAGTACGACAAGGTCTGCAGGCATATGATGTAAATACGTCTAATGAATTAGAGCCAAAATGAAACATACCTGTGTTCAGACGTAAGGCTCAGGGAACGAGACAAAGGAGCATCAGACACGGTCCGAACAAACATAGGTTTTGCTTTATCAGTCGATGCCTTGATGCACTTACGGCTGCCTCGATGGTTGCTCAATGAGCTGAACTGCCCAGGATGCCAGAGAGGTAGTTGGGAGGATACGCTTGTCTGGACCCATTCCTTGCAGTCAGGGCATAGCATCCTCCATCGTTGTTGGGTACCGATGGTTACCGCTAGCACCTTAGCCATGTACACGTTGTAAAGTGAGTCCGGCGTGTTTAGTAATAGTTGTTCCTCGATATCGATCTCCGAATCAGGGACCGAAGATGAATGTTGTGAGTCTGAATCTGATCGGCCCCAGTATGAGCTGGGACCTCGAGAAGGAGGTGATAAGTTGGGGAAGTCTTCTGTGTATGCTGTATGTGTGGTATCATCCGATAATTGTACGTTGAAGTCTATGTCTGGGCTATTAGAGTGTCCAGAAGCCGATGAATCTGTGTTGGGATCTGATCCGATGAAGTCCATCGCTTGATACAACGTGGCTATATGCGCCTCGTTTCTGATAGGAGCCGAGTTTTCGTAACTTGCTGGGAAATCAGACTGGGTGTGTGCGTGAAATTGTGTGGTAGAATACATAATGAACGAGAGTATGCAAAATGAACGAGTCTTGATGATGGTGGGAGGCAACAGAGAGACAAGGCACGTCAATACATATGAGCGCGTCATATCTATATTCACGTGTCTCGTGTTATATTGGTCACATGTTCTCAATTTTTACAACCAGAAACGTTGATTTGGCTGGTAGCATCATTGCACGCTCTGATCTCATCGATCTGACTATCTATACGTGTTATTAAGTAGCAAAAATGGGGGCCTTACAGTTTTCAGTTAAAGAATTTATTAAGATCCTACACCGCTGTCGAGGAACTCAGAACACTGCTCTGGAAACTTCAAGTGGCTGTATATTAAGGTTTTGTAGATTATATAATGGCGAGCCCCATGTTGGGAATTAAGGTTTCGCTCACCTCTTGGACGAGAACCATTCAACAATTCACCGTGAAGCATCCAGTTCCGAGCTCTAAGACCTGCAGGCCTGAGCGCTGAGCACCGAGCGTTCGCATCAATATGGTCAGTCTCCGTGTGATCAATCTAAAATGTTTTTGATGAAAATTACTTACGTGGACTCTAAATCTTTTTTGATTTGGCCCCTGCCCGCCGGTTAAACGTTAAACCTCCGAATTGACCAAACCTTCCGCGACTCTCGGGCACCATATGAGTACGTTTTATTTCCCTATCTGACCTGGCGACCTCTCGTCACCTTCGGCATCAATGACGGAACTTAAAATATTAATTAGAGGCTACTCATGATAAAGCGTGACTTTTTCAGTTTCGCTTTATACTACATTCAGCCCCGTTGTAGGCGTCTTTGGTCGCTGGTGTCTACTTGTAACTATCTGCAACCCTCTCGACGGTCTTCACATGTGGCGGGATTACGACGACTTTTGTGATGATTCGGGCACGGACCCCGATTTAACGGACCTGGACATGGGCTCAGATAGTAGTAGCCAATGTAGCGAGCATAACAACCTGAGCGAGGCGCCAGGCGAAGAAGCTGTAGGTGACAATGGCGGAGAGACATATAGTAATCACTGTCTTTTTTTATCCGCGCGAAATTATTCACCAACTTTTACTTCAAAGTTCCAGACAAACAACCTGTAGCAAAGCGCGTCAGGACGGACAAAGGAACCGTTATAGGAACAGCACTAGCAGTAAAACGTTCCGGCAGAAGAAAGAAAACTCTTAGTCTCATCGTTACTGTGCCAATCGATATTCTTCTCGAGGTAAGTTGATGAGCATTGCGCATGCATCTAATTTGTCTGACCTCCGCTTCAATATAGATTTGTAGCTTCTTGGAACCGGTGGACCTCTTACATCTGTTCCATGCCCATACAGCTTTCCATAAGGTTTTATCGTCTAACCATGCAGTCTCAGTCTGGAAAGCTGCTCGGGTCAATCGTGGCGGTGTTCCTGACTGCATGCCTGGCATGTCTGAGGCGGAATGGGCTGACCTATTATTTGGTGGTTCTGACTGTGACGTATGTCTGGTCTCTGTTTACATCTTTTGTACTTTAGTGACCACAAGCTCAGGAATGTGGCAAGAAGAGGGTGTGGGATATAGACTTCGGTATCAGGCGCAGAGTATGCCAACCATGCCTCAATGAGAAGTGAGTACTATTTTATATTATCACGTCCTTATCTGGCCAACGATCCGTCAAGCCTAGTCGGCAAATCGGCCTTTCCATTCGTATTTCCTGAATACGATCTGATCATTCTTGATTTGATCCCATTTAGTAGTAGTAGGTGTTGTCTTACTATGACTTATCTGTATCTGACCTTTCTGCGCAGTCGGTGTTGAGGATTATGACCATGATTATATTGTTGACTTGAGCTGCAAGTTTTTTTGGTCAGATGACATAGAGAAAATGGCAAAAGAGTTGGAGGTGTACCTCAAACCAGGTGCCGAACAAGCACTAGAAGATTTCAAGCAATCACGCAAGAAATATGTTGATTCCGATTCCAATGTAAGATTCCTACCAGTCGTTTTACTAAATCTAACAGTTTCGAAGCATATAGCAGTCTGTGACGCTTGGGTCGCCAATGATCGTGCACAGCAATCGCTCCGTGCCGATGAGCTTCGTAGCCAAAATACAAAGCTGTGAGTAAATTCTATCGACTCGTCATCTAATCACGTCTTGATCCTCTATCCTAGGTTTCAAGCTAGACTGGTCGATCTCGGCCACGATGCTGAGGATGTGGAACGCATGTTCGACCATCATCACTATGGCGTACTAGATAAGGAGTTTACCGACGCACGTCAGTACTCTACGATGTTTGAAAAGATTTGTCCTTACGTTGTTGATTTCCAGGCTGGAAGCGTTTGATCCCAAAAGTTGAGCGGAAGCTTGCTCAATTGCAGGAAGAATGGCGCCTCGAGCATCAAAGAAGAGTGTCGTCTATCCGGGAGTCTGCACTATTGACTATGTACGACAAATACGTGTGGCCGTTGCCACAGGGTATCATACCTCCTCCCAAAGATCTCTTGGAGCTATGCGACATTGCGGAATTTATCAAAAGCCCACCCACTAGAGGTACAAAAAATGATGCTTTCGACGCACAAATTCCCCAGTTGTGTGCTGAATATATGCATAAAAAGAAGCTCGAGCTGACGGGACTGCTTACCCTCTCCACTGACGCAGTGCAAGATACCATGGCGCTACAAAACCAAGGAATCGACGCTCCTGATGATATGTTATTGCAGCTGGCAACCTCCGTTTTCCAATGCACCTACCCGCAGTCATTCCCATTGATTACATGGGACAAAGTACAGTATCACGGAAGGTCCTCTCACAGTCAAAGCCCCCGATCCAGTTGCGCAATGACGATGTCCACATCACCTTGCACATTTTCGGTCTCTCAACGTGGGGTGGCCGCTGCACGTTCTTTGTTAAGCTTGGTCGGTCTCGATGCCAAAACAACGACAGCAACCACAATGGATGACCTCCAGTGTCGCTTTTTCTGCTCTAACTGTTCCCCCAAGCCAGAGAATGGAGGATCCTACCGGATGGCGATGAACTGGCGTCAGAGCGTTCGTCTGATGTTTGTGATTTTTATGCTGTGCTTACCATCTTCTAGGTCTTCCATTACGTCGAGGATCAAAGTCCATCGCACGAAGAACCTCGTTGGGAATTATTGAGTACTGCACAACTTCAAGTCATTCAAAGTCGGACTATACCCGAATATCCCGCAGCCACTCGGCAAGTGTGGCGTTGTAATGAATGCGATATATACCACGGAGACTCAACTACAAAGGCTAAGGTGATCAAGCATATGCGATCGTAAGTCATAACCTTTTCTGTTTCACTTTACCTTTTTTGACGTGTAGTAGGCATGGAATCACCACTCCGACTGAAGGAATTGACTTTAGCTATGACCAGGGTGTCATCGAGAAACCGCCTCCAGCAACGAAGTTCTTCGTTACCCCTCAGATCAAGAAGCCGTCAAAACCAAGCACGACCCAGAAGTCTAAACCTAAACCCTCTACTAAGTCGGTATATCGCTGCCAACATTGCAATGGCTTAGATCGAACTTTCCTATTGGAAGGCGTCAAGCAGCACATCAAAGTCAAGTAAATAAGCATTTGTCAATGGCCCAGATCCACTACTTAATGATTTTTCCTTCAGGCACGACATCAAGTCTCCACATGAAGGGCCAGATTTTTACAAAATCAAGTAATTCCATCGCACTTTAATTTTTCATAGCCTCCCCTTCATCTTTCGCTCTATGTATACGACCTTTAACACATAACTCCAGCGGTTACGTACGTCTAGCCTAATGCTTAAGTATATACGTTGATTCACAATACTCTCGAAGGACGGTTCCTTAAGTATGGCCAATCTA